TCTTTCTTTCTTTCTTTCTTTCTTTCTTTCTTTCTTTCTTTCTTTCTCACACCTGATTCCATCAAGAACACCGTTATTCCCTTGCAAATGAGGGATGCCTCCCTCTGAGCTCCTTCCTTACCCTGCTGTTTGTGCTGGCCCTCTGCTTCTGTTCTTTGTGCATACATGAGAGAGAGAGAGAGAAAAAATTTGGATTGGATTTGGGACCTATTTCTCTTTATCTTACCTGAGTTTGGGAAGTTAAATTCTCCCATCACAGCCTGGCTGACTGACCCCAGGGGGAGTCTGTTCCTGCCTGCCATGGGACAAAGGCCTAGTTTGCCTGCTGCAGGAGTCAGAATAAATTCCAGGTGAAGTGTCATCCTAGCTGACTTGTTAAAAACTTGTTAAAAAACTTGTTAAAAACTTGTTAAACTTGTTAAAACAGACAACTTGTTAAAACTTGTTAAACCTGTTAAAACTTGTTAAAAAAAGACAATTTTTCTTTGGGCCTTTGCCTTCAATAATTAAAGCAAATGGAGGTAGAGAAAATTAAAAGGAATTTATTAAAGGCAACAAGACATTGAGATCAGCCAGCCTATATAGCCCTTGGACTGACTCAGCACAAATTTTCAATATGGCTTCTAAAGCAAACAAAGATTGGTTTTAGAACCTGTTTGTTCCTGATTTGGTAGGTTTTATTTCTTCTTATTCCTTGAAGAACTTTTTAGAGTTGGGAGAGACCCTTTAAGCAGTAATGTAGTACAACCCATACCTGAAAGATATCCCCACATAGTTGTGCTGCTTGTTTGAAGATCTCCGAGGAGTGGGAACCCTCTGCCTCCAGAGGCAACTCATTCTACTTTTGGACAGCTCTAATCAAGAGGAAGGGCAGGTAGGTGGCACAGTGGATAGAGTTTCAGATCTTGAGTCAGGAAAATCTGAGTTCAAATCCTGCCTCAGACACTTATTAGCTGTGTGACCCTGGGCAAGTCACTTAACCCTGTTTGCTTCAGTTTCCTCATCTGTAAAATGATTTGGAGAAGGAAATGGCAAACCACTTCAGTATCTTTGCTAAGAAAACCCCAAATATGGTTACAAAGAGTTGAGCATGACTGAACAACATCAAGCTGAAAATTTTCTTTACCTCAAGCCTACATTTGCCTCTTTTTCCTTCCACCCATTGCTGCTGGTTCTGTCTTCTGTGGTCAAACAGGAAGATTGAAGTCTTTCTTCTACATAAGAGCTGCTTAAACACTTGAACACAGCTATCATATCTCCCTCAAGTCTTCTTATCTGTATGTTTCACATCCCTAGTTTCTTCAGTCCTCATATGGCATAAACTCAAGACTTTCTACCTTTCTGGTTGCCTCCACTGGACACTCCCCATCTTATCAATGCATTTACCAAACTGTAGTGACCAGAATTCCAGATCTGCTGTGACCAAGGTAGAGCATAGAAGAATTATCACTTCCTTAGTTCTATAAGCTATGTCTTTCTTCACATAGCCCGAGGTCACGTAAACTATATGTATATATATATATGTGTGTATGTATACACACATATGTATGTATGTATATATATATTTTTTGACTGCCCATTGAATTACTAATTCTTGTTAAGAGAGAGTGACAGAGACACATGCACACACAGAAGGAGAGGGAGGGGGAGAAAGAGAGAGAGAGAGAGAGAGAGAGAGAAAGAGAGAGAGAGAGAGAGAGAGAGAGAGAGAGAGAGAGAGAGAGAGAGACTTCTAGCTATTATTGTATTCATGTGAGTCAGTACTTCAGGAATGGAATATCTTAACTGCCCTCCTCTGGAAGTAGTTCTATTAATTTAAAAGACAAGTCTTGATTGCCTGAAGCTGAGAGAGGTTAAATGATTTGCTCAGAGCTAATCAGTGTCAGAGGCAAGATTTGAACCCAAGTCTTCCTAACTCCATGTCCAGCACTCTATTCATTACACAATGCTACTTCACTCCCATGCATACCTTAGTGAAAATATAATTTTGATTCTCATTAACTGAGTTATATATAGGAAAACTAATTTTTAGCAGAAATCTACAAAGTCATGTTTCATATGTCCATGTAGTCATTTTGTTCAGAAAAAAACTGAAGAATCAAAATTTATTTTTGTTACACAATGTTTTTATTTCATAGGATGCGACCTCTTCAAGATCACCTATGCCACTGCAACCATCAGGAGTCTCAGAAGAAAAAATGTTACCCTGTATAAATTATATAGCCTGGATTAATACCTACAAACAAAAGAACAAAGTCAATATAGATTTTCTTACAGATACTGTGTTTGTATCTTCTGGTGTTCCAAGGTGAGGTGTTTACTTTTTTTTCTACGTGTTAATAATACGGTCTCTTTTTTCATTTTTTAGAGCTATTTCATGTTTTATTACCATGTGTGAAGAGCTTGCCATGATTGTTAGCAACTAGGGACTGTCTCAGTTACAGGTTGGTAAAGATTAAGGTTAGTTGCTTGGTTTGGGCCTCCCAAGGTTTGTGTGTGTGTGTGTAGGGGAAAGGGCCACCTTGGTGAGGTTACCCCCAGGGGTCAAGGGTAAGGTTCTCAGCTTTGCAAGTTAGGAACTCAATTTTGTTAGTCTGCTTAGAAAGGATCAAGCTCTAGGGAATGGATTCATGTTAATCAAACATAGGAAACTAATTTGTAAATGAGAATCTCCAATTTGTTCATTTAAAATGGGAGATGTATCTGGCGAGAGAACAGGCACTTGTTATTTGCATGGGACATGCCCTTTGTTTGAATGGTACCTCCAGGAGAACAAAATATAGATCAGGACTTTTTTAGAGAGCACAGAATTAGAGCAAAGGAAGTTGGATATTCTTAAAGAGATTCAATTCATTGAATGTTCATCAAGCCCTATACTATGTGCAAGGCATTGTAGTGGGTACTAGAGGTGCAAAGATGAAAGATAACATAGGCAATATGCTTCTATAAAGTACCTGCTCTGGGCTAGGCACTGTGCTGAATATTCTGGATACAAAGAAAGGCAAGACAGACCCTCTTTTCAAGGAGTTAACAGTCCGGTAGAGGAGACAACATAGAAACAACTACGTGCAATCAGGATAAATTGGAGATATTAAACAGAGGAAAGGCACTAACATTAAGTGGGATCAGAAAAGGCTCCAGTAGAAGGTGAAATTTTAGCTGGGACTTGAAGGAAGCCAAGAGGCAGAGATGAGGAGGGAGAGTATTTGAGGCGTGGGGAACAATGAGTGAAAATGTCTGAAGTCTGGAGATTGAGTGTCTTGTTAGAAGAACAGCAAAGAGTCTGATATCACTGGGTCATAGAAGTAGTGTTAAGGCTTACAGTTTCCTCAGGGGATTCACATACATATATGTACATATGTATGCGAGTATACACACACATACACAAATTTATATAAATAAATAAGTGTGACACAAGGGAGAATGTGATGAAGCAAACAAGAGATCAAGACCTCTAGGAAAATTTTAGAAGAAAGAAATCATTTTTACTAAGGGGACCAGCCTCAAATGCAATGCCTTTCTCCCTCCTTCAGTCTCTCCCCTCTCTAATTCATCCTCCACACAGCTGCCATATTGATATTTTTAAAGCACAAGTTGACCAGGTTGGTCCCCTGTTGAAGAAGCATCAGTATTTTCTATCCCCCGCCCAAGATAAAATACAAACTCTTTTCAGCATTCAGAACTCTTCCCAGTCTGGCTTCAACTTGTGTTCCCAGACTGATTCCACATTACTCCCCCTAACACATTCTGTGTTCTAGTTCAACTGGCCAATTTCATGTTCCCCATACACAGCACTGCCTCTGTCCTCTCCTCATCTCTACCTGTTAGAATCTGTAGTTCCTTTCAAAGCTCAGCTTGAATTCTACTACTTACAAGAGGACTTTCCTGCTTCCCTAAGTCATTAGATGGTTCATTAACAGGATCGGAATCTGCTGTGTGAAGAGCTGGCTTAGCTTGTCAGTATTGCTCTTTAGCACCATCTAGAGCTTGAAAAAGGGAAATTCCACACAATCCAAATAGATTTTAGGTGCTTTGCAGGATCCTCAGCTTAGCTGTTTATCACTGAAATAGCTTTAACACTGTCAGGACCCAGGAAAGTGAGAAGACCTTCAATGCTGGGGATCTCATGCTTAGGGCTGCTGTTTCATTGGAACAATGTAATGCTGCTGTTTACTTAAAGAGCCTAACCAGACTTCTGAGGCCTGAGATATCTCAGAGAAATGACTTTGTGTATCAGGAGAACAGAGACTCAGAAGAGGAGAAGGTGACATTTGGTTCAGGTAGGAAGTTTCCTTTTTTCCCTCCCAGTAAATAGTATTTTATTTTCTCCAATTACATGCAAAGGTAGTTTTCAACATTCATTTTTTATAAGATTTTGAGTTCCAAATTTTTCTCCCTCCTTCCCATCCCCCCCAGAAGGCAAATAATCTGATATAAGTTATACATGTGCAATCATGTTAAACATATTTCCACACTAGTTCTATTGTGAAAGAAGAAACAGAACAAAAGAGAAAGGCCACAAAAAGCAAAATACAAGTGAAAATAGTTTGTTTCAATCCTCATTCAGATTTCATAGTTCTTTCTCTGGATGTGGATAGCATTTTCCATCATGGGTCTTTTGGAATTGTCTTGGATCATTGTTTTGCTGAGAAGAGCTAAGTCTATCATGTTTGATCATCTCACAATATTGCTGTTACTGTGTACAATATTCTCCTGATTCTGCCCACTTCACTCGGCCTTAGTTCATGGAAGTCTTTCTAGGTTTTTCTGAAACCTACCTGCTCATCATTTCTTACATCACGATAGTATTCTATTACATTCATATACCACAACTTGTTCAGCCATTCCCCAATTGATGGCCATTCCTCAATCTCCAATTCTTTGCCACCACAAAAAGAGCTGCTATAATTTGATACATGTAGGTCCTTTTCCCTTTATTATGATCTCTTTGGGACACAGACCTAATAGTAGTATTGCTGCATGAAAAAGTATGCACGGTGTGCCCTTTGGGCATAGTTCCAAATTGTTCTCCAGAATTGTTGGATCAGTTTACAACTCCACCAACAATACATTAGTGCCCCAATTTTCCCACATCTTCTTCAACAGTTATCATTTTCCTTTTCTGTCATATTAGCCAATCTGTGGCTAATGAGGTGGTATCTCAGAGTTATTTTAATTTGCATTTCTCTAATCAATAGTGATTTAGAGCATTTTTTTCATATGACTATAGATAGCTTTAATTTCTTCATCTGAAAACTGCCTGTTTATATCCTTTGACCATTTATCAATTGGGGGATGATTTGTATTCTTATAAATTTCACTCATTTCCCTATGTATTTGAGCAATGAGGCCTTTATCAGAAATACTTGTTGTAAAAATTGTTTCCTATCTTTCTTCTTTCCTTCTAATCTTGGTTGCATTGGTTTTGTTTATGCAAACCTTTTTTAATTTAATGTAATCAAAATTATCCATTTTGTATTTCATAACGTCCTCTGTCTCTTGTTTGGTCATAAATTCTTCTCTTCTCCATAGATCTGAGAGGTAAACTTCCTTGCTTTCCTAATTTGCTTATGGTATCACTCTTTATGTCTAAATCATATACCCATTTTGACCTTATATTAGTGTACGGTGTGAGATGTTGGTCTAAGGCAGACTGTTTCTTAAAGAGACCATGAATATCCATGCCAGAAATCATTTGCCCCAGGGGTTTTCCATTGCATCAATCAGTTGTTAAGCCTTTAAAGTTGTTTTTCTTTATAACACTGATAAACTCCTAGAAAATGTTGTATTTACTGCATGGCTTCATTTCTTCACCACCCATGGTCTTTTCTACTCATTGCACCTCTCTTTTGTCCTGAAGATTCAGTGAAGAAAGATGGGTTTCAAGAGCAGTTTGAGCAAAGGAAAAGAGGTGGTCTTTTATTTGGGCAGGGCTATCAGTTCTAGTTATACAGGAAATGGCTCAGAAGTAGAATTTAGTTTACTCCGATTCAACATTTATTTATCAGGGCATTTATTAAGCGATAGATTTGGAATCAGAGGACATAGATTTTAATCTGTCTTTGGTCATTTCCTATGTGACTGTGAGTGGATTATCATGATTCTTTTTCTGACTTCTACTCCATCATTTTAGTAAACCTGCTTCCCAAAAGGTCAGCATTTGCTTCCTTATTGCCAAGTCCGAAGACACGAAGACCTGAGTTCAAATCAGGTCTCACACATTTAGCTATGTGACTATGAGCAAGTCACTTAAACTCTGCTTGCTCTAGTTTCCTCAACTCTAAAATGGGGATAATAGCATCTACCTCCTAAGGTTGTTGTGAGGATCAAATAAGATAATAATTGTAAGGCTCTTAATACAGTGCCTGGCACATAGTAGGTGCTTAACAAATGTTTGTTTCCTCCCTATTGAATAGATTTTATTTTGGGACAGCAGATTTTAAAGGGTTAAGAGAAAGGATGGGTAGGATTTTTCATGCTAAAACTCTATAGCAGGTGTGAGACAAAGAGGGATAGGAAATTCTAAAAAAATGAAATTTTGAAAACACAAATAATTTCAATTAGAAAGAAATTAGCAAACAGGGTGCACTGGGGACTCAGAAGCCAATTTCAATTTAAAAAACTCTTGTATAGATGGTAGAAGCAAGGGCAGGTAACTAAGGATGAATATAAAAGTGTGACACTGTCCTATAAGAATAGAATCAGGCATGCGAAAGCTCAAAATGATAGTAGGTTGGCAATGAATGTATTCTTAGTCAATGTTCAGGAAAAAAAAAAGTGAATCCACAAAGGGACAGGACCATTGCTCAGTGTCCATTTGAGCTACTAATAATCAATGGAGAAAATGGAGAAATATTCAACTCTTATTTTCCTTTTTCCCCCCTTTTCTACTAAGGACAATGTCATTTGGACTAGGGAAAAAAATAGAGTAAAAATGACTACTGAGGAATTAAAACCTTTTGTTTTTACCCTTGTATACCTAGATCCTGCTATAATGCTTTGCACAAACAAATGTTTAATAAATGTTTGCTACTTGAGCAAATTGAAGCTCAAGGGTTAAGTGACTTGTTGAGGGTCACACAACTATTGCATAGGTATTAAAGACCTGGACTAGTATTTGGGCCCAGGTTCTCTTCTGACTCTCAATGCAGTACTCTTTAGGACTGTCAGAATAGATGATATAAAATGAGCCCTATTTGTATCATTGTAGTGATACTGTTAAAGTAACATACCCGCACATCTACACACACGCCCAAAATAATAATAATACTAATATCTAACATTTATATAGGCTATATAAGCTTTGGGACTTTCAAAATCACAGGATCATAAGCTACACTCCCTTTATTGGTTACTGAGCTTTCTCAACAGCTCTGAGGCAAAGTGGAGGATGCTAAAGTGGACAGGTTTTTTTTTTAATAACTCCACAGCTAATCAAGATGCTCCTTTTCATCACATGATTAGCTGACCAGCATCAGTTGCAGAATGTCTATGCATATGCCAGTCTTTCCAAGGTATTTTTCTTATGTACTTTGTCCTAATGATTCTCCTGGAAGTAGCTTTCTAGTGTCCTCCATGTGGACAGATAACATCTTAGGTGGTGTAGACCTGTACCAGACCCTAATTACACAAGGATGCGTAAGGGCATGTAAACACATGCCCATGTAGATTTGTGTGCCCAGGTTTGTCTAGATGTGTCTCACAGGAAGGTAAGGATAGATGTTTCTAGAGTCTCCTCCTCTTACTGTTCTCCAAAGGAGATTTTGATTCCTGCAAGGAAGAGAAGCAAGAGGTGAGGCCAGATGCTGGCAGCTCTGCTTTTTCTAAGAGAAAAGAAGTGCCAGGCTATATATCTATTTGTTCTCTTAAATATTATTAGTCTAGGGGAAGTAATTTTGAGGTTCAAGTTGCGCTCCTGTTATATGTATCTTTTAATGGGAAAGGGAGGCCCCAATCTAAATATCCAAGGCTTGAACTCCTTCCCACCAAATTCCAATTCCACAATGAACACACATAACAAGTAGCAAATAAACTCATTTATCAAGGTCGATAGCAAAACAGAAATCAGAGAAAGTATACATAGGAGAATATATACTGAACAATACAGAGTGAATGAACTCTCCCATTAGAAGTGAGATTACTCAACTAAATTAAGAGAATCTCAGATTTTACCCAAGGGGAAATTCCCCAAAGTCTTTAGTGTAGCAGGTTGAGGATAAGGATATGATAAAGATTGTCACTTCCTCTATGTCAGCTTCTTTTCAGAATCTTTCTCTCCCTTCAGTCTTGAAGAGAGGTTGGAATGGTGCATCTTCTCTCTCAAAGCTGAAAGCCTGACCAAATCTTTCTTCTCTTTAACTCTCACCAACTCCTCCCACCACTCACACAGGCACAGGGCATTGAGAGATTAATCTCCACCAATGAGGAAAGAGTCCTATGCAATTGACTCTATGAGCCAAGGGTTACAGATGATTTTGTAAAAAGATAAAGAACTCCTATCAACTCAGAGTATCTGAGTTGAGATTCATTTTTTCCTTTAAATACTAGAATTCAAAACATAACAATATTGCTTAATAAATTTTCATCCAAAGGATTAGGTTGGATGACCAAAATAGTCATGTTCCTATGATCTCTGCTTGTTAAACTTGACCTAAGACTTCCAATAAAGTAGAAGGGAAAGTTGGAAATTGCTTGAAGGATGGAAACAGGCTAGCACAAACAAGCCTGGCCATTTACATAAAGCCAATTCAGTCACATTGTTGAAATTTTATACTATAGAGCACAAGTTATTTATTCTAATTTAGTTTTTGGTGAAATCTTTTGTTTTTATGTAATCTATATTTCTCAGTATATCTTTTTCTTCTTCTCCCATCCTAGAGCTATGCCATATAACAGGAAATTGAAAAGAGAAAAATTTTTTTTTGCCAAAATAGCCAACACCTCAAAAAATTCTGACTATACACAGTGTTCTACAAATTCTGATTGTATGCAGTGCTCCAAACCCATAGTCTCCCACCTCTGCAAGTTGAGGAGATCCCTTGTCTTTCCTAAATGAAAAATGAACTTTATCCCACAAAATCATCCTTGGGCTCTATATTAAATGTGATACTCTCTTCTCCAACCTATCCTTCATGCTGTGCCAAACTTATCTTCTTTATTACCAGAGAAGTAGCTTGGTATAATGGAAAGAGTGCCCAGTTTCCTTATCTGTGTCACTACTCTGTAGTGGCTCCTATTGCCTTCCCAGTTAAACTCATCAGATTCCTTAACCTGACTTGAGAATATGACACCATCCTACCTTTGCAACCTTATCTCATATTATTACCCCTTTGTGTCCTCTATACTAGAATCAAACTTGACTCTGCAAATATCCCTTGGATATTACACATGCATTCCTGCCCCCATGCCTACATCCATATCTCATATTGAAACTATTCTTTTCAGAAATCTTTTCAGGATACAAGGACACTGTCCAGTGAATTGTTACTTCAGATAAAACTGAAGATGAAAAAAAAAGTTATAATACCCATTAGAATTCAAATTCCTTGAGAGTATGGATGGCTTCATTCTCTGTGTTTCTACCTCCAGCACCTAGCACAATGCCTGGGACATAGTAGGTCCTTAATAAATACTTGTTGATTGATTGATTAAATGCATCTTCTTGAAGTGCCTCATCTACTACTAGGGCCCTGTGTTCAGGTTTCCTCCTCTTCACTCCCACTGCCTGTTGAATTCCTACTAATCCTTGGAGCCCAACTCTTCTTCTAAAGCCTTTAATTATCAACTGTCCTAGGAAGACTTCACTGATCTCCACAGTTATCAGTGACATTTTTTTCTCTGATCTCATATAACATTTGACTTCTGCCTCTCTACTGTACTTACAATGTATTATATTGCAGGGGTTTTTTTGGGAGGGGTATGTGATACTCCCCTACTAAATTGTGAACTCCATTAGGATAGGGACCATGTCTACTTCAAAGTTTGTATCTCCTTCAATGCCTAGCACAGTGCTCTGCATATTGTAGGCACTTAATAATTGATTAATTGAATTGATGATATTTTACAAGTGTATGATAATGGGAATTCTTTTAGATTAGATTAGATGATAGTTGGGATACTTTCTAACTCAAATTCTGTGATTCTGTGCTTCTGGAACATTAAAGAAAAGATTAGATTTTATGTTGAGATCCATCAATGTATAAGTAATCCTCTAGATGAAGTAATAGAGTGTTAGAGTTGTAGTCAGAAAGAATTGAGTTTGAATCCTATTTTAGAACTTATCGGCTATGTGACTCTGGGCAAAGTCATTTAACCTCTCTGCACCTCAGTTTCATCATTTATAAAATGGGCATAATACTAGCACTTACTTCAGAGGATTGTTGTAAGGATAAAATGAGATGATATATATAAAGCAATTTGCAAAGCTTAAAGCATTGATATGAAATATTCTTATTAATATTTAACATAGTAAATGTCATCATTATTATTCTCCATTGTTTCTTTTAGATTTTCTTGCAGGTGCAAGATTGGGGAGAAACTCTATACTGTTGGTTGGGGATCTACTAAACAAGACGCAAAACAATCTGCAGCCAAGAATGCATATGAGCAATTGATATTAGGCAACAATTCACAGGTATGTTACCTTCTCATTTCTTCCTATCTGAATTCCCTTTGAAGCTGGTTTGAGGATGAAACTTATCAGAAACTTCTGTGCAAGTTTTAAAAAGAATGCTGTTCTAGGTGAGCTTAGGTCTCCCCATAGGGCAGAGCACGTTCCCATCTCTGTCCTCTCTCAGAATCTTTGCACAGACTCTGCTTCATGCCTAGAATACCAGAAAAGACAGACAGAAATCCTGATAATAATGAAGTTGGAAGAATATGATACACTGAACAAAAGGCAAAAAAAAAACCACAGAATATGTCAAGTGGTAGTTATAAGGCTTTTCTTGAAGAGAAGGGAGCTCAACCCTCTGAAATGAATAAAACTGGGGATGATGTGGACCCACAAGTGCCATTAGCTGAGAACTTATCTAATAGGAAGGAAAGCAAGAAAAGATGAGTGGTGGCAATTGGTGATTTCCTGATGAGGAGTACTAACAGTTATTGGTTGACTTGACAATAACTCCAGAGATGTCCACTATTTTCCTGAGGCCAATAGTATGTTCTAGAAAACTTCCCAGGCTTGTGGAAGTGGATGACTACCTACCTCTGGTGACACATGTGACAGAAATAACACTGCTCAGAAGGACCTTGGAATGCATAGTTAATGATTATACTAAGAATTATGAAGATTTTGGGAGCAAAAGAAGAATTTTCATTATTCCTACTAACTGAAGGCAACAACTTCTGAAAAGAAAGGCAGATTTGGGAAATTAGTGTCTAAGATTTAAGAGAATGTCTGAGAATAAATTTGGATCTCTAAAGGAATGACAGACTTTTGGCCAGCAATAAAGTATAGCTCACAAAGGCTGATTAATAATAATAACAATAATAGTGTTTATATAGATAAATATTATCTCATTTTATCCAAGCCAAAAGTTTTTGCCTGGAGCTTTGCAAATCTAAACAAAGGACTTGAACCTGAAGAGGAATGGAGGAGTAAAAAAACTGCCTGTGTATAAAAATATGAACACCAAGCTAGATAATGTAGAGAACGGCTACAGTATAGATAGAAGAAAAGCAGTAAAGATGCCAAAAATTTATAGGAGATAAAATTTAAGATCCAAGCAGTGACATCAGACAAATACGAGTAGCAAGCAAGATGAACTAGAGATCCTAACTCAAGAAAGCAATTTTAATTTTCCTTGAGAATTGGTAGAATAACACCCATAATTGGAATATGGCTTTGGAGGGGTATGTTTTATTAAAAAGTTAGCATATTAATAAATTTCAACATGGGGTAGAATAGATCTGTATATTGAGAAGATATACATATACTTATGTGAGGAATCCCAGGAACCTGAAAGAAAAAACATGGTTAAGAGCATTTGATTGAGTATAAACCAAGGAAAAATTGAAGCAATATTGTCACTAGAATACTATTGAATGTCCATTTTTTTGTTCTGTGTAGTTAAACTCAGATTTGCAGGATAGGTCACCCTGGGCTGCATCTTGAACTCCAAGGCTCTTTGAAATACCTAGTTACATTTCCTCCTCCTTTTTCTAGTGGGTATAGAATAGTCTTGTACTATTCAAATATCCTTTCCTTAGAACTTGTTTCTGAATTGAATTGTTAAATTTAACCACTACAGTCTTAGAGTTTGCAGCCTTGAGTTTTTTTTTTTCCTGAAGGCAATATGTTAATTCTTTCAAATGGAATTTCATTTTCTATGTTCAGAAATACCTATTATTTCTTTCTTTACGGTGTTAAAGTTTTTTGTCCTGTCATGTTCTTCTGAAAGATAGATGGTCTCTATATACTCTGTCTTTGAAATCCATGTTTTGCTTGCAGAGTAAGCATATTTTCTTTTAATATTCTTGGTTTTTTTGCTTTTCTTCCTCTAAGTTGTGATTCCCTTCTGTATATTTGCATTCCAAATCTGTTGTTTTCTGTGTTTCTTTGGTGAGGCTTGCCTTTTCAGTTTCAAGTTTTTCTATTTTGCTTGTTGTTTTTGCTGTGCATGACATAAATTCTGCTCTCATAATTCTCATTTCTCTTTTAAACCACTCAGGAACAGCTTGTTGTGGTTACATGTTCTCCTCAAATTGCATAGGGCCATCAAGTGTTGGATCATTTTCCTTCATTTTGTAGTATTTATTTACAGATGCCTGAACTTGTTTACTAGATCTGGAGGCTATATTTACTTTTCTTGTTACTGTTTTACCTGTTGATTTATCTGTTTATATTCAAAGTCATTGAGATTTCTTTGGTACTTTCAGTCCCCACTCCCACCCCCACCCCCACCCACCTTATTACCTTCCCCCACTGATTGTGGTTTCTTTGTGGCCTGGATCTCAAAGCATCTCAGCCTCCTCCCATATTGGGCAATTCATGGTTCACCAACCTAGGTCTCTGCCCCAACTGACTTTTGGGTGGTCACAACTAGTCCCAGCTTGGTGGGGTGCTATACAACTCCCCACATGCATGGTGTCCATAATCTCAGGGTCAATGAGCATCAATTCCTGCTTGGTTTTTTTTTAAATTTTTATTTTGGGTCCTAGGAGTCCTAGCCCATGGACCAGCTGATGTTGTTTGACCTTTGGTATATAATTCCTGATTTGAAGTGGTTTGAGAAGTCATGGGGATTGGAGAAAATTTCTAGTCCTTCATCTTGTTCACATGACCCCAGAAGTCCAGGTCATGTTTTGTACTACTCATGTAGTCACCTTATTTAGGGAGGAAAAACTTTGAAGTGTGAAATAAGTCTTCTAAAATGTTTTTTACTTTGTAGGATATGAGCTCTTCAGTGCCACCTGAACCATCTCAATGCTCAAGAGTCTCAGAAAGCAAAACAACACTCAAAATAAATTATATTGATCCTCTGAACCAGTATGCACAAAAGAAGGGAATCACTTTGAATTTCCCAACAGAAACAAAATTGGAACCTAATGGACTTCAGAGGTGAGGGATTACTTTGGTCCTTCTATTTATTTAATGCTTGCTTCTGTCTTACAACAGTATGTATGATTTTTCTTTTCATGGTTTATGTTTTAGAAATTCTAAGAATTTTACTCTTTATTTTTTATGATAATGTATGGAAGGACTCCACAAAATCCTACTCAAATGCTTCACTGTGGCTTGGAGGTTCCCCACCTCTGCCCTAGGTTCTCAAAAGCTTTGCCAGCAGAGTATAAGCTTTGACTGGTTCTCCCATGCTGGACAGACTTAAAATATCACCCTAGTAACAGAATTTGTTTTTTGATGACCAACCTAGTTAATTATGGAGAGGCATGGGGCAGCTGGGTGTTGCAGTGGATAGAGCACCAGCCCTGGAGTCAGGAGGACCTGAATTCAAATGTGGCCTCAGACCAAACACTTGACACTTACTAGCTATGTGACCCTGGGCAAGTCACTTAACTCCAGTTGCCTAAAAATAAAAATAAAATAAAATAAAATTATGGAGAGACATATCACCAGAACAACAGACACCAGATGGAGAATTTTTTTGGTAGGGGATAGACGGGCTATGGAAACCAATGAAACAATGAAAATTTTTTAAATGGCCCTCATTCGCGGATGGCATCTTTCTGCTTCTGCAGTGTTGGGGGCAAAATGGTGGGAAAGGTGGCTGAGGGTGCTTAGAATTTTTAGACCATCTTCTGGACTGTAAGCCTAGCCCTCTAACCATTTTACCATGCTACTTCTCTTAAAGATGCATGGGGTTTGTTTCCCCTAGGTTGGTGCATTTGTGAAGGGCAAATGGTTTGGTTACTCAGTGTAAGTCCTAGGGTTCAGTACCTACTCAGATCACTCTTGAATCCTGGAAGAGTGAAATAACTTTTGGTTGGACACCACAGGTACCATTTCATATCATTTGAGTCATAATTAAGGGGACCTGGATATCAGTATCATAGATGAAGATATGTCCTCTTTGTATCTTTTGATATCAATAAGTTATAACTGGGCAAATCCCTATTGAGCATGAGCTCTTTTTCTCTTCCTCAAATTCAGAAACAGACTATCATAATAGAAAAAAGAAAGAATTGGAGTAAAGGACTTTCTTAGATGAATCCTTGATCTCGTCAGTGTAGATACTTCCTCCTCTGATCCAAATTGCAATCCTTCGTGCCTTCACCTTTACCCAGATGATTTTTGTCCTTTCCTTTCCATAAATCCTCCCAAAAGGCCATCTGAACATGCTGGAGGTCAACCTCTGAGTACTATTCTAAGGTTACCCTATGTAGCACCTGGGTTAGTCTATCTGCTGTACCTCCTTCTCACTAAATGACAGTCTCCTCTGCTTTACTGGTCAATTGCACATGTCCTTGGTCATATGTCTTTTATAACATTTCTTGTACATGAAAATCATCATTGGCAAGGTACTGCTATCTGTTTAAACAACTGTGTATCTTTCTATTGCCTGGTAATTTTGACTCCTTCAAGATCATGATGTTTCATAATTTATAGCCATGTAGCATAATAATGAATATTTTTGTGTGTAAAAAGATGGTCTTATGTAGTAGCAAGCAGCTTGGGTTTATTGAAAATCTTGGTCAAATTAATCATAACTGACATAGCACATGAAAGTTTGCAAAAATTACATGCATTATCTCATCTGATCCTCACAAAACCCAGTGATGTAGATATTACGCATTATGACCTAGTGACCTAGCAGTTTTGTTGGACTGGGAATCAGGCTGATCTAGGCTTAAATCCTGCTTTAGACTCTTAATAACTATGTAACCCTGGGGAAGTCACTTAGCCCACTCTAAGCCCCAGTTTCCTCATTTATATAATGGGGAATAGCACCTACTACACAGAGTTGTTGTGATGACCAAATGAGATCATGTGTTAAAATAATTTGCAAACCTTGAGTATATAAATAGGCGCTATTATCAGGCAGTATGGTATAGTGGAAAGCACTGGATTTGAAGCCAGTGGTCACTGGCTTCAGATCCTACCTTGTTCATTTATCACCTATATAACCTTAGGCAAGTCACTTAACCTTTTGATGCCTCCTTTATAAAAGTAGGGGAAGTTGGACTAGATGTCCTCTAAGGTTCCTTCCAGCTCCAAATCTGTGATCTTATTATTATCCCTGTTTAATAGATGAGGAAACTGGAGCATTGAGAGGTTAATTGATATGTCTGTATTCTAACTAGTCATGGAAGTAACTGCACATATGGAGAGCTGATTAGGAAACCACAGTTTTGTCAGTAGCCATCACATCGATAATCAATTGCATTTTCTGTCATGTTGTGTTGTTGTTCATGATGTCTGGTACTCCCTGATTCTTCTAAAAAAGTATTCAGGCTATAATGTACACAACTACTACACCAAAGTAAGCAGAGTCAACATAATTCACAACCACCATATGAGCTAGGTACCTCATTTAAAAATTTTTTAAAAATTTATTTATTTTTAATTTTCAACATTCACTTCCATAAGATTTTGAGTTCCAAATTTTCTCCCCATCTCTTCCCTCCCTTAACCCCAACATGGTGTGTAAATTGATATGGGCTCAACATATACATTCATATTAAACTTATTTTCACATCAATCATGTTGTAAAGAAGAATTAGAACCAATAGAGAAACCATGAGAAAGAAGAAAAAGAAAGAAAGGGAGAGAGGGGCAGCTAGGTGGCACAGGGGATAGAGCACCGGCCCTGAAATCAGGAGGACCTGAGTTCAAATCCGGCCTCAGACCAAACACTTGATACTTACTAGCTGTGTGACCCTAGGTAGGTCACTTAACCCCAATTGCCTAAAAAAAAACCCAAAAAACAAACAAATAAGAGAGAGAGCAAATAATGTGCTTGAATCTGCATTCAGATGCCACAGTTCTTTTTCTGGATGTGGACAGCATTTTCCATCATGAATCTGTTGGAGTTGTCTTAGATCCTTGCCTTACTAAGAAGAGATAAGTCTATCAAAGTTATTTTGTTGATGTAAGCAATTAGGGATATAAATTTTCCCTTAAGTACCACTTTGACTGCATCTCCTACATTTCAGAAGGTTGTCTCATTGTCATTTTCTTTAATGAAATTATTAATTGTTTCTATGATTTATTCTTTGACCCACTTATTTTTTTAGGATTAGATTATCTAATTTCCAATTAATTTTTAATCTCTCTTTCAATTGTCCATTACTGAATGTAATTTTTATTACATTATGATCTGAAAAGGATGCATTTACTATTTCTGCTTTTATGCATTTGGTTGTGAGGTTTTTATGTCCTAATACGTAGTCAATTTTTGTGTAGGTGCCATATACTACTGAGAAAAAGGTATATTTCTTTGTATTCCCATTTAATTTTCTCCAGAGGTCTATCAAATCTAACTTTTCCAGAATTTTATTCACCTCCTTAACTTTTTTCTTTTTTTTTTTGTTAGATTTATCTAGTTCTGAGAAGGGAAAGTTGAGGTCTCCCACTAGTATGGTTTTATTATCTATTTTCTCCTATAACTCATTCAACTTCTTTGAAAATTTAGATGCTATACCATTTGGTGCATATATGTTTAGTTTTGGTATGACTTCATTTTATTTCATTGTCTATGGTACCTTTCAGCAAGATATAGTTTTCTTTGTTTATCTCTTTTAATTAGATCTATTTTTGCTTTTGCTTTGTCTGAGATCATGATTGCTACCCCTGCTTTCTTTGCATTAGCTGAAGCATAGTAGATTCTGTTCCAGCTCCTTACCTTTACCCTGTCTCTCTGCTTCAGATATGTTCCTTGCAAACAACATATTGTAGGATTCTGGTTTTTAATACATTCTGCTGTCTGCTTCCATTTTATGAGTGAGTTCATCCCATTCACATTTATAGTTATGATAACTACCTGTGTATTTCCCTCAATGCTATTTTTCATTTGTTTATCCGCCTGCCTCTTACCCCCTACCCTTTCCCTCCTCACAAGTGTTTTACTTCTGATCACCACCTTCTCCAATATACCCTTCCTCTTATCAATCTCCCCTCCCCCTTCTATTATTTCCCTCCTTTTTACTTCCTTGAGATAGATTTCTATATCCAACTGAGTGTGTATGTTATTCTTTCTTTGAGCGAATTTTGATGAAACTAAAGTTTAAGCTTTTCCCACCACCTGCCCCCAACCTTCCCCTCCATTATAATAGCTCCTTCATGCCTCTTTTATGTGGGATAATTTACTCCATTCAATCTTCCCCCTCCTTCCAGTGCAATTTTCTTTCTCACCTCTTTATTTTTTTTTGTATCATCCCATCAGTCACCTTATATCTATACCCTCTCTCTACATATATTCCTTCTAATTGCTCTTATAAAGTTCTTAAGAGTCACAAATATCTTGCCATATAGAAATATAAACAGTTTAACCTTTTTGAATTTCTTATGTTTTCTCTTTCTTGTTTCTTTTTTTACCTTTTTTATGCTTCCATTGAGTCTTGTATTTAGAAGTCAGATTTTTTATCAGCTTGGGTCTTTTAATTAGGAATGCTCAAAAGTCCTCTCTTTTGTTTTGTTAAATATCCATTTCCCCCACCTGAATTATATTCAATTTTGCTGGGTAGGTGATTCTTGGTTGTAATTCTAACACCTTAGTCTTCTGGTATATCATATTCCAAGCCCTATGGTTCTTTAATATGGATGCTGCCAAATCCTGTGTAATCCTGACTGTAGCTCCATGATATTTGAATTGTTTCTTTTTGGCTGCTTGCAATACTTTCTCCTTGGTCTTTGAGCTCTGGAATTTGGCTATGATGTTCCTGGGAGTTTTCATTTTGGGATCACTTTCAAGTAGTAATCGGTAGATTCTTTCAATTTCTTTTTTGCTTTCTAGTTCTAATATATTGGAGCAGTTTTCTTTGATAATTTTTTTGTAAGATGTTGTCCAAGTCTTTTTTTTTTTTGATCATGGCTTTCAGGTAGTCCAATATTTCTTATATTATCTCTCCTGGATCTATTTTCTAGGTCAGTTGTTTTTCCAGTGAGAAATTTCACATTTTTTTCTATTTTTTTCCTTTTTTATTTTATTTTATTGTATCTTGATATCTCATAGAGTCATTAGTTTCCACTTGCTTAATTCTAATTTTTAAGAAACTATTTTCTTCAGCTGGCTTTTGTATTTCCTTTTCCATTTGGCCAGTTCTATTTTTAAGGAGTTGTTTTCTTCAATAGATTTTTGTATATCTTTTTCCTTGTTATTGACTCTTTTTTCATAATTATCTTGCATAACTTTCATTTCTTTTCCAAATATTTCTTCTCCTTCTCTAATTTGCTTTTAAAATCCTTTTTAAGGGCTTCCAGAAATTCTTTTTGGGCCTGAGACCAGATTACATTTTTCCTTGAGGCTTCACGTGTAACCATTTTGACATTATTGTCCTCTTCTAAAATTATGCCTTGATCCTCCCTGTCACCATAGTAATTTTCTGTAGTCAAGTTCTCTTTTTTTGTTGTTGTTTTTTGTTTTTTGCTCATTTTTTTCTGCCTTTTTTTTTTTTTGGACTTGGTTTCTTTATGTGAGAGTTGGGCTCTGGTCCTACATTGTCCCATCATTTTGTGCTGGGGCTCTGGGTCTTACTGATGGCTTTCACTGAGTTTCAGGGCTTATCTGCTTGCTTTCTCTGGAGGGTAGGCTTCCCTTCTAGTTTGTACTGGGGGTTGGGGCCTCCATGTTAGTCTCCCCAGGTGTAAGGTTTAGTTGCTGGCCTGCTGCAAGGTGGGGAATTTCTGCTGGGTTGCTATGGTAACAGGGTCTCTCTGATGGTAGACCCCAAGCGCAGGGTCTCACTGTTGGCTAGCACCATGGCAGGGCTTTACTACTGGTCAGCAATGGGATCAAGGCCTCACTGGTGGCTTGTGGTGGGGGTGGGGTCGCTAGGGTAGGGCTTTGCTGTCCTGCACTAACTGCTCACTTGCCTAAGGAGCTGCTGGCTTACAGGAGGGGGTTGTCTCCCTGGTGGATTGCCCCAGGCTTGGATCCTGGCTGCGGGCCTCCTGCTGTGAGGCTGGCTGCTGCTGCTGCTCATGGACCTCACTCCCCTCCCACCCCAGTAAGACAGACCTTTCCTGCTGTGCTGGTAAACTGCTTTCCTGCTCCTAGACCAATTCTGAGGCAATTTTCTAGTTATTTGGAGGAGAATTTGGGAGGGTTCCTTCCTCACTTTGCTGTCTTGGCACTGGAAGTCTTATAATCACATTTTAATGATGCACAGAGGGTTTCAAGGTAAATGGCACTGAAAGTACAGTGACAAATGATGAAAAAAAAGATGGCAGATGGCATGGGGCTAGGGAATAGGAGGTAGAGGAAGACAGGCAGTGTAGGAAGAGCATGGGCATGGTGAGAGGCACCGAGAATTGCTCACATAACCATGGATTAGGGTTGGGAGCACTTGAAAGCATAGACCTGAAGGAAATGGAAGAATGTTTGGGAAGCAGGAGTTTGAGGTCTCCCATTTTTATTGTTTTTTTGGGGAGGGGATTCAGGCTAACTCTTATCTGTGCCACTTGAGGTTAGTTCATCATCTCAATGTTATTGGTAAAACTTTTAAGTAAACATGTCCATGTCATCTCAAAGTTATTGGTACCATTTGGTATTCTCCTGGTCTTACTGTAGATATCTGGAACATGTCTGAGATTTACATATCATAGGACCAAAAATCCTTGACAGTAAAGCCTAGATGGTGCCTCCTGATTCAGCACAGCACATATCACTAGGATGTGATTTTGGGTTACTGTATGATATAATTTGTAAATTATGCTCCTTTCATGCTTGGATAGTTCGTATATAACTTCTAGGTTCCTCTTTGTGATCTTATTTCTTGCTATTGCCGCTTTTTACTGGCTACTTATAAACCTACTATACCAATTAGAAGGTAGTAGGTGCTTGGGGGACCAGAACAAGATATAATTTTAACACAATTGTTACTACCTCCTCCTAACTCTCCCCTCCCCCCTCAAATAAAAGCCCTCATTTGGAACAAATAAAGTCAATAGAACAAATCTATGCATGAAATATGTCTGAAAATATACTTTACAGATTTTTCTTAATGGGAGAAGGTAACAATGACCTTCCTAGTAAAAAGACAGCTAGATGGTATAGTAGATAGAAACCCCGCTCCCCTTACCTCCCTCCTCCAGAATCAGGAATGCCTGAGTTCAAATATGACCTTAGGCAATTACTAGTTGTGTGACCCTGGGCAAGTCATTTAATCACTGTTTGCCTCAGTTTCCTTGTCTGTAAAATGAGGATAATAATAGCACCTAGCTCCTAGTGTTGTTGTGAGGATCAAATAAGATAACAATTGTAAAGCTCTTAGCTCGGTGCTTGGCACATTGTGCTATATAAAATTTATTATTATTAATATTATTTCTTTCCATATATATTCTCTGATTCATGTAACTCATTTGACTGGGGAGAATCATGATACTGCCAGGTAGTCTGAATACCAGATATACTGTATTTGGCCCCTGTGCATATTATCTGTAAGTGGGATTCACTGGGGAATTGTTGCCCCTGTTGGCTATGAGCCTACTGCAGGAGCAGGGTGCTAAAATTCAAAGAGTAAAATTATGAGGAGATACAAGGGGCTGCTCTTTCTCTTTCATTTATGCACTGGGACTCCTTGGTACCCTGTCAGAGGGTTCACAGATTTGAAGAACTCACTGTGGAATGCATTTTAACATGAAAAGTCCATATAGTTAAAAAAAAAAGTCACATTACCTATTTCATACAGAATAGTACTGATTATAGAGGGGATTCTTATTCAGATATGTATTGATCCAAATGACCTTTGAGATGAAGTTCCTTCCCTATCTAAGAATCCTGTGAGTGTGTGAGTAATTAATAAATTACCATTTTATAAGGGGATGCTCTTTTCAGGGGTGTTCATACCATATAAGAATCAGTTGAAATAACTGGGTTATTTATCTGATTGCCAGCTTTCTAATGAGGAGCCTTTCCACATTTATTTTAGCTGGGCCTAGAGCTGGAAGGGACCTGTGAGGTCATCTAGTCTACCTCCATCATTTTACAGATGAGAAAACTGAGGTCCTGAGAACTAAAGTGACTTTCCTATCATACGGTTAGTAAATAGCTCAGTAGGGATTTGAACCCAGGTCTTCTGAAGCCAAACTGAAAATCTTCCCATAATGCCATACTGTCCATTTTCCAGCATGGTAGAAGCTTCCAGAGTTTGATCTCTAGTGGAATAGCTTTCTAGAACCCAGTTACCTCAACATGGCAATGAAACTTTAGAAGAAGCCTTTTAGAGAGGTGGAAGACAATATCCAAAAATGTCCCTGGGCTCAAATGACTGACATAAACCAGAATGCATTTGTATCTTTCAGGTTATAATTTAGACCAGATTTTGATCAGGAATATGTTCTCTTCACTAAGCCTTAGTTTTCTTACCTGGAAAATGAATGGGCTTAATTATAGATCTCTGAGGTTCTTCCAGGATTTCAGTGTTTCTTTGGTTCTATGTTGTTTGGTTGAAGTTTTAATTTACAGAAGTGGCTGATTTAGCAAAACCATCCTCAGAACCTATGTTAAGTAGGTTGCATTTTTAAAAAGCATTAGATTTTATTTTTGATACATATTGAAACTCAAATAATTTTTTTCCATTGTTTATTCTAGTTTTTCTTCTATCTGCAAAATTGGGGACAAATCTTATGGTCCTGCTACAGGATCTAGTAAGAAAGAAGCTAGACAAGCTGCAGCTAAGATTGCATGTGAGATGATGCAATTAGTTGACACTTCACAGGTAATTAATTAGCCTTTTGGCTTAAGTTTCTTGGGCACAAATTCCATCTTAATTTGATTTGAGACTGTTGTTTCTTTGATGCTATAAGAAATTCTTATCCAGAGAGATAAAGACCCTCCTTCTTATTCCATCTTCTGTCTTCCTAGTTACACATTTGTTCATACATTATGTATGTGGCTAAAAATTCCAATAGCTTCTACTGGCCAAAAGACAGTGCTGATTTATACTTGCTGGATATGTCATAGTCTGGATTCCTTTCACATATGGATTGTACTAGAAGGCCTTACAACTCTCAAATTGTGATTCTATGATTTACAGCTCCAGATCAACCAACAAGTTGACCAATAATAAAGATTTTTGTAAAGTCTCTGATTTTTACCTGATGCTGTTAGGCAACATGGCTACCATAGCTTACATTGATACAGCTTTGGAGAACAAGAGTTATACATAGTTCTTTGTATTTCTCCCCCGTTTAGAAAATTTATTCAACATCTTCTGCTTCTGCCGCTTCATGGATTGATTTTAACAAAACACCTTCAAGTTCATCAATATTGTAAGTATGAAGCAATACTTATTGTTCAATAAATTTTACTTGCTTTCTACTGACTGTCATAAAGAAAATATTTATTTTTAATATTTGGCTTTTTTCCATGCAGATATTTTATTTTCTTTTAAAAATTCTTGTTTTTTAAAATTCCAATCTTAAACACACAATAAAATGAACAAAATATATTGAACAGATTGTAGCTAAAACTGTGAATCTTTATTATGTAGAGCTTACCTTTATTTTTAAGTTTATAAAAATTGATTATGTAATTTCACAGTTGTCCTGCTTGTCTATGATTCTTTTATTCTGTGTTCATGGTGTGTCATTTCAAAGATCAGAGGTCTTAAGTCTTTTGAAGTTGTTTCTTTTTACAATGTTGTTATTGAATAAATTGTTCTGGTTCTGTTTACTTCACTCAATTAATTCACACAAGTCTTTACAGGTTTCTCTGAAACCATCCCTTCTGTCATTTCTTAGAACAAATAATATTTTATTATATTAAAAAAACTATATTTTTTTCAGTTATTCCCAATTAATGGGCACCCTCCCTCGCTACCAATTCTTTGCCACTACAAAAAGAACTACTATAAATATTTTTATATGTATAAGTCCTTTTCCTTTTTCTTGATCTCTTTGGGATCTAAACTTAGTGAAAAGGAATGGTTGAGTCAAAGGAAAAGCACAGTTTAGTAACTTTTGGCCTTAGTTCCAAAACCTATACCAGTATTATAAAGAATGACCATAACAACCTTCTTATATTTAGAATATACTTATGGAGGGGGAATTCCCTGTACCAATACAGGTCAGCAACTTCTTCAGCTTTACTGGTAGTCTTAGAGAGTTGCTTGAAGGTACCAAGAGGTTAAGTGGCTGGCCCAGGGTTACATAGCCTGCCTTGATACATTTTCTTCTATTTTTTCAATCTCTTGACTTTGTTTTAATGTTTCTTATCCTCTCATGGATTAATTTCTCTTTTGTCCCTTCTAATTTTTGAGTAGTCTTCAGTAAGGGTTTTGGTTTTTTTTATCTCTTTTTTTTGGGGGGGTGGTTAGGCAATTGGGGTTAAGTGACTTGCCCAGAGTCACACAGCTAGTGAGTGTTACATATCTGAGGTCAGATTTGAACTCTGGTCTTGCTGACTCCAGGGCTGGTGCTCTATCCACTGCGCCATCTAAATGCCCCATTTTTTTAATCTCTTGTGCTAAGCTATAAATTCTCTGAGTCTTTCCTCTATAGCTCTTATTTCTTTTCTAGTTCTTTTCTCTAGCATTCTTATTTAAGTTATATAATAATTTTTAAATTTTAAAAAACTTTTGCTTCATTTCTTCTAGGAATTCTAGTTGAACTTGTGTCTAAGATGTGTTATTCTTTGATGCTTTGCTTGTAGATGTTTTGGAGTTACTCTTTTCTCCTGAGTTTTTGTCTGGAGCATCTCTGTCACCATAATAACTTTTTCATGCTGGGAATAATTTTTTTGTTTACTCATTCTTCCAACCCTACTTCTTGAATTGGGACTTTATGTTAGATGCAAGTTAAGTCTACTTCTAGAGGGGATGTCTAGGTCTTGCTTGGTCCTGTTTTGTATTCTCTTGGGTCCTAGTGATGCTTGCTGTGTTTATTGAGTGCTGTGTTCTTTAAGCACCTCAAGGGAGGCTCAGGCTAGGAGTCTTCAAACATTCTGTGCACCTAAAGCTGCCTGACACAAGGCAAAGTCAGATTGCTGCCCTCTTGGCCAGAATTTTTCAAGCTCCTGATTATAAGTTGGATATGGGCTACATAACTGTAATCTTTCCTCTGGATGGAGCTCAGGTAGACCTCTGCTGGCTGCAGCTTCAATGTGCTAGCTGTAAACCTCTGCAAGCTTAAGTCAGGTTAAAGCAACAAGAATTTAAGGGACTATAATGTGTAAAGAAGGCAACAACTGTCCCTGACATCAAGGAGCTTACAATCTAATAAACTTTGTACAAACAAAATACATACAGGATAAATTGTAAATAATCTCATGGGAAAGGCTTCTTACAAAAGGTGGGATTTTAGTGAAGACTTGAAGGAAGCCAAGGAAGCCAGGAGGCAGAGATGAGGAACGTTAGAACCACTGCCCTTCCCCCCACCTTTAGTCTGAGCTCCCTGATCTGATCTCTCGGCTATAGCCTTAAGATCTATCTTAGGGCTAGGAGCAGAACCACACAGTTGTTATTCTCTTCTGTTTCTGATCCTTGCCCAGTCTGTCACACTTAGACACAGGTCCCCTCCTCAGTCTACCTGGTCTAGGGGTAGAGCGACTGTGCTGCCAGTTGGCTTCTGTTTTTTACTGTCTTCAGATTTTGGCTTGTACTTGCTGGATCTGAGACCTATTCTTGCTCTCAATAGCTTCAAGCTCTAGTTCATCCCTGACGCTGGAAAGCTCAGTGATGCTTCCTCCTGGCTAGAGCCTGCACCCATTAATTGCACACCTCTTTCTCCTCATGCTGACTTGAGCTGGAAAAATAACTCACTGTGATCGTCTTTATATTCCCCAATCACCTGATCTCTGATGCTCTTCCTAGGTATTTCTTGGAGTAACTGGGTAGAGTTGGTCTCTACGATTTCCTTCTACTCTGCTATCTTGACTTATTTCCAGAGATAGGACTTCATCCCAGGTCTTTCTTACACTGAGGCCAGCCCTCTGTCTATTATGCCTTAATGCTTCTTCTAGTGATACCTAGGATGTCAAACTTATCTCTTTGCATTAGGATTTTTAGCTCCTTTAGCTTGTGAGACAAATGTTAAGCATTCGTGTTTAGACTTCTGAAGCCATGGGTTTTATTTTTGGCTCCTTCCTTGAACTTTATTTCCTCTGAGCGTCTGGATCTCTACATTGTTTCTACATTGTCACTACTCTTTCTGACTGGTACATATTAGATGGTTAATAAATTGTTGATCATTTGATTGGTATTATATGGTATCCACATACAGTGTGAGGCAGGAAGTTTTTTCCTTCTACCTTGCCTTTTCAGGTTAAAGATGGGAGATGAAATATCATTTATTGGGGACAGCAAGCAGATTGGTTTGGCAGGGTTGTAAATTATATGAAGGAGAGTAATGTATAGTAAGCTTTGAGAGACAGATTGGAGCCTGAAAGTGAAGGGCTTGAAAAATCAAACAGGAATTTGGTTTTTTATCCCTTTTGAAACAATGAGGCTCAAAACAATGAAGAATTGAACTAGGGTGTTGGCAGGATGAGTGGGGAAAAGGTGATTGATATGATAGATTTTTGTTGAAGTTAATTGCATATGTAGAATGAGAGGTAGGGAAGAGAGAAGGATTAATCTTAAGGTAGGTTATCATCCTGGGTCACTGAGAAGGTGCTGGTCCTATCAATAGAAATAGGGAAGTTGGAGGAGGGGAAACTCTAAGGTGATAAATTCAGTTTAGATATGGAGTTTGGGATTCCATCAGGACATGTACAGCAGACAGTTGGAGTTGTAGTATTGGTGTTCAAAGTGGGAAATTAGGTTTAGATATTCAAGTAGAATGTAAATGTCTTGAGAAGAGAGATTGCTTTTTCTCTTGTGTTACCCATCACTTGGCACAATGCCTTGTACTCAGTATGTGCTTAATAAATGCTCATTGGATTTCTCAATGAATTCAGTACTTAGCTTACAATATCCCTCTACCTTATCTCTTGCCTTCATACTAGACACTTCATACATGTTGATAACTCCTCAAATACCCTAACTATTGGGGAATTCAGCCATTCCCAAGTTGATGAGCATCCCTAAAATTTCTAATTCTTTGCCACCACTAAAAAAGAGATGATATAAATATTTTTGTACATAGGTCCTTTTCCTTTTCCTTTGTATTACTTGGCCAAATGATATGCAGTTTTATAACTCTCTGGGCATAATTCTAGATTGTTCTCCAGAATAAGTGGACCAGTTCACTAATCAACCAATGGTTCATTAATGTGCCTATTTTCCCTCATTCCCTTCAGCATTTATCATGTCTGATAGGTGTGAGGTGGTACCTCAAGAATTGTTTTGATTTACATGTCTCTAATCAATAGTGATTTAGAGTATTTTTTCATGTGACTATAGATAACTTTTGATTTCTTCTTCTGAAAACTGTTTGTCCATATCCTTATTTCATTTATCAATTGGGGAACAACTCTTATTTTTTATAAATTTGACTCAGTTCCCTATATATTTGAGAAATAAGGCCTTTATCAGAGGCCTAGATAGACTTAGCTCTTCTCAGCAATACAATAGTCCAAGACAATTCCAAAAGACTCATGATGAAAAATGCTATCCATATCCAGAGAAAGAACTATGGAGTCTGAATGCAGGTTGAAGAATACTCTTGTCACTTTTTTTCCCCTTTTTTCTCTTTTGTTCTGCTTCTTATTTTACAACATGACTAATGTGGAAATATATTTAACATGATTGCACATGTATGACGTATATCAGATTGCTTGCTATCTTGGGGAGGGGGGTGGGAAGGGGTAGAAAAGTTTGGAACTCAAAAGCTTATAAAATGAATGTTGAAAACTATCTTTCTATATAATTGGAAAAAATAAAATACTATTTACAGATTTTTTTTTTACAACACTTCATTGTCTATGATGGCTTCTTAGCAAAATGTAGTTTCCCTGAGTATCTCTTTTAATTAGGTCTATTTTTGTTTTTGCTTTGTCTGAGATTATGATTGCTATCCCTGCCTTTTTTTACTTCAGCTGAAGCATATTAGATTCTGTTCCAGTCCTTTATTTTAACTCTGTGTGTGTCTTTCTGTTTCAAGTGTGTCTCTAAGAGGTAAAAACATATTGTTGGATTCTGGTTTCTAATCCATTCTGCTATCTGCTTCCATTTTACAGATGATCTCATCCTACTCACATTCAAAGTTATGCTTACTAACTGTGTATTACCCTTCATTCCATTTTCTTTTATTTCTTCTTCTTTCTCTTTAACCCTCCTCAAATGTCTATTTTGCTTTTAACTATTGCCTCCTTTAATCTCCTCCACCCTTTCTCTTAGTCCTTTCCTCTCACTTTCCCCTATTGGGTAAGATAGATTTCCATACCCAACCAAGTGTGTGTGTGTATGTGTGGGTATGTGTGTGTGTGTGTGTGTGTGTGTATGTATTCCCTCTATAAACCAATTTCCCACCCCTATTTCCCCCTCCACTGTAAAAGCTCTTCCTTGAGTACCTTTTTTTATGTGAGAAAATTATCCCCATTCTGCCTCTCCATTCCCCCTTCTCCCAGTGCATCCCTCCTTCTCACCCTTTAGTTTTATTTTTTGGGATATCATCCCTTTGTAGTCAACTCACACCCATGCTCTCTGTCTACTCCTTTTAACTGCCCTAGTAATGAGAAAGTGCTTAGGACTTACATCTTCCCTTGTAGGAATATAAACAGTTTAACTTTATTGAGTCCTTTATGATTTCTTTTTCATGTTTACCTTTTTATGCTTCTCTTGAGTGTTGTGTTTGAATATCAGATTTTCTATTCGGCTCTGGTCTTTTCATCAGGAATGCTTAGAAGTCCTCTATTTCACTAAATCTACATTTTTTCCTTTGAAGGATCATACTCCATTTTGCTGAATAGGTTATTCTTAGATGTAATCCTAGCTCCTTTGCCCTCTGGAATATCACTTTACATGCCCTTCAGTCATTTAATGTAGAAGCTGCTATATCTTGTGTTTTCCTGCCTATGGTTCCACAACATTTGAATTGTTTCTTTCTGGCTGCTTGCAATATTTCCTCCTTGACCTGGGAGCTCTGGAATTTGGCTATAATATTCCTCAGAATTTTCATTTTGAGATCTCTTTCAGGTGGTAACTGATGGAATCTTTCAATTTCTATTTTACTCTCTGGTTCTAGGGTATTGGGGGGCAGTTTTCCTTGATAATTTCTTGAAATAAGAGCCTTGGTTCTTTCTTTGATCATGGCTTTTAGGTAATCCATTAAATTATTTTTCTTCAATCTGTTTTCCATGTCAGTTGTTTTTCCAGTGAGATATTTCACATATTTTTATATTATTTTAATTGTGTTTTATTGTTTCTTGATGTCTCATGTAGTCATTAGCTTCCACTTGTTTAATTTTAATTTTTAAGGAATTAGTTCCTTCAGTGAGTTTTTGTACTTCTTTTCCCACTTGACCTATTCTGCTTTTTAAAGAGTTCTTTTCTTCAGTGGATTTTTGTGCCTCCTTTACCATTAGGCCAATTCTGTTTCTTAAGGTGACATTTTCTTCAGTATTTTTTGTGCCTCTTTTGCCAAGCTGTTAATTCTCTTTTTATAACTTTCTTGCATCACTCATTTCTCTTTCCATTTTTTCTTCTACCACTCTTAGCTCTTTCTTTAACTCTTCCAGGAATTCTTGTTGGGCTTGTGTTCAGTTAGCAGTTTTTCTTTGAGGCTTTTGTTTTAGCTGTTTTCATGTTATTGTTTTCTGAGTTTGTGTTTTGATCTTCCCTTCTAAGAGAAGTCGAACATATTCTGAAATTGAATTATTTGTATAAATCAGACTACATGTCAAATTAAAGATAACATTAGGCCAAGTCCAAAAGCTACCATAGTAGCTTTTTATGGTCAAGTTCTTTTTTGTTGTTGTTTGTTCATTTTCCCAGCCTATTTCTTCTCTTCAAACTTTATGTTAAAGTTGGGCTTTGCTCATCTGAGGGCAAAGAAGCATTGTCCCAAGCTTCAGGGTTGTTCATGTTGCTGTTTTCAGAGCTAGTTCTGGGGGTCTACAAGTTTTCACTGCTTCCAAGGCAGTGTAATCCAGAGACAGGTGTAATCACTGGTCTCCTGGTCTGTGCTCTGGTCTTTTTATTTTTTGGTAAATAGTATTTTTTTCCCAATTACATGTAAAGATAGTTATTAACATTCACTTTTATAAGATTTTAAGTTCCAAATTTTTCTCTCCCCTCCCTGCCCCCTTCCCAAGATGGCAAGCAATCTGATATAGGTTATACAAGCGCAATCTTGTTAAACATTTCCACATTAGTAGAAAGAAGAAACAGAACAAAAAGAAAAACCCATGGGAAAAAAAAGTGACAATAGTATGCTTTGATCTGCATTCAGACTCCATTGTTTGTTTGTTTGTTTGTTTTCTGGTTGTGGATAGCATTTTTCATCATGAGTCTTTGAATTATCTTGAATCATGGTATTGCTGAGAAGAGCTAAGACTATCATAGTTGATCATGTGCTCTGGTCTTTACCCAGGAAGGGCTACTGCTCACCTGTAGCTGCCAGTTTAGCCCTCCTCTTGGTCTTGGAACTGTGACCTGGGTCCCTGTGCCCTTTTCACTGACCACAAGCACTCTTCTCCACCCTGGAACTGTGACCCAGAACTATATATGAGCAATAGAGTTGCCAATCAGTACCAGCTGTACTGCCAGCGATGGGTCCCTTGTAATCTCTTTCTGACCAATTGTCTGATCTCCTTATTGTTTCTGGGCTGAGTGTTCCTGAAGCTGTGGCTGTGACACAAGCAGCCACTGTTTGTATATGCTCTAGACAGGCTTCCACCCCAGTGGTTCAGGCCTTTCTTGTGGACCTCCTAAGTTTTCTTAGAATGGAAAAATATTTTACCCATACCTTTTGTTGATTCTGCTACTCCAAAATTTTTTTGAGGGGTTATTTTAAAGTTGTTTGGAGGGGAATGTTAAAAGAGTTCAGCTGAGTTGTAGCCCTCATCAGCCACTTTGGCTCCACCTGAGAGGTCTACTTTTATAGAATAATGTTTTATCTTTTGGATTTTTAGGATGTTGTTGCAAAAACTTTATAAGTCTTTGTTGTATTTCTGGCCAAATGAAATCATTTCAGGGTATGTTCCTTTACTGGTGGCTGAATTATGCTAAGGATCAGATTGAGCCTAAATAAGAGATTTGCTACTCTGCCGTAATGTTCCCTCCAAAAGTGAATATTTGTATAAGATATTTGATCCTTCTTGGACTAAAAAGTAAAATGCAACCTGCTATTGGTGGAAGCTTATAACAGCAGTATCTTTGTTTTTAGTACCTCCTCTTTGAAGTATTTGCTCGTAATACTTTATCGTATAACCAATTTTCAGTGATACTGATTAAAAGAAATCAAACATTCTGAAATTGAATTGTTTCTATAGATCAAACTACATGCTGGGTTAAAGATAGCATTAGGCAAAGTCCAAAATCCAGGCTAGACTCCTTGAAAGACTGATTTTACAGCCTTGAAAGTAGCCAAAGTTTATGCCAATGTTATATTTTATATATATATTTGTATATATCTATTTATATCTATTTATGTATTTATATACATTTATGTATATATATATATTTATGTATTTCTATATATTTATATTTATGTATTTATATATATTTGTTCAAAGACAAACTTCCTGAAAAAGAATAGTTTTAAAAACTGTAATAGCTGATCTGGAACTCAAAATCTTATAAAAGTGAATGTGGAAAGGTGGGGAGCCAAGATGACAGAGTTCTCCCTCAAACCCCTCCAAATACGTATAAAAATTACTCTAAACAAATAAAAAAAGTGAATATGGAAAACTAAAAATAAATAAAATAAAAAACTATAATAGCCATTGTGAACAGAATGTGAGATATTTAAAGAATGTCTAAGAGGAATGAAAAAGTGATTCATGTATAAAGGAATAATTAGACATGTAAAATCAATTGTTATTTTTTTTTGTTTGGCAGAAATGGCGTGGCAGCTGAAAGAGGATTCTCAGAGGATGCTTCAGAAAGGAATAGTATTGATAGCTTACAAAATTTTTCCTCATATTCTCCGGTATGGTATTAATCTCTACATTTTCTTACTTATTAATCTTGTCCAAGTTTTTATTCATGAAGAATTCTTTACTAGAAAATTGTTTTTATGTAATGAAATATTTAGTTAATCATTATTATTATATTACTAATAATCCACAATGGCAAAAATTTTAGTCCTTTCACTATTCCTACTTCACTCGCGGACTGCATCACTCACAGAATAGATTCCTCCACAAATCTCTCATACTTTTACATCTTTCTACGTGGAACTTCCTCTTCCCTCATAATCCACTAGTAGTCCTCCTAATATGCTATTAGAAATACTACTTTAGAGGAATCCAATACTACTGTTTCCCCTTTCCTTTGTGATTGGGATTAGAATAATAGAGTAGCAAAAAGAACAAGAGAGCAGAATTTAGTTCATTTCATTTCAGTTCAATTTCATCTCAACAAACATTTTATTAAGTGACTACTGTGTGCCAGATAGTGAGATAGATGCAAAAAGTTTAGAAAACAAAACATGTCCATTTATGGAGCTTTGATACAAACCCTGCTAACTATAATACTATATAATACCATGGTAAATGATATTTATGTGAAATATAAGATGAAAGGTCATTACTAATAAAGGGGATTAGGGAGGACTAATCTTACCCTACAGAGGCAGGATTGGAGTTGGGGTTTATAGGATGAAAAGTGAAAAAGGCCATGAATAATGTAGATAAGGAAATATGGCTGACAAAATATCCAGACACAGTGTGGGATGGTTCCCTCCAGAGCATGCTGATAATCGAATTGATTTAATCCCATGAAAATTTTCATTTTCTTTTATTATAGAAATCTACTGGAAGTTATCAACAGAAGAGTAAAAGGTATTGATTTCAGTTTATCTTACTTTGATTTCAAGTACGTAGTTTGTTACGTAATTAATTTTTTTGAGGACTCAATATATATACAGCCTTCGACATACTGATGTGGCTCCTGTGTAAGGTGGAGAGTCTCTGAATTCAGAGAAAATTATCTTTCCACTGCATTATACTACCTCCCCTGATAATGCTAGGCTATCTTTGCTGGTTTCCTTTTTGTCATTACTCTGAATATTAATATCTATTTTTTTCATATAAATCTGTTTCCTTTGAAAGGCCAAGCCCAAGGGCCAATCCTGAAGTATGTATCAGTCCAGAAGTGCAGTTCAGTGGTCTTTGCTTTTGCTACAACTAGTAATCTGTGAAACTAAGTCAATCTTAAAACAAAGGCAGTAGGGCAATGAGGAGCCAGAGTTGACAAGTGGATTCACACTTTTTTTCCAGGGAGTTCATATTTTGTCCAGGACACAAATGAGAAGAAACTTAACCTCACTTTGCATCTGCCTAGTAACCCATCTGTATAACATGTCTCTTGTAAACAACTTATTGTTAGATTCTGGTTTCTAATTCATTCTGCTATACAATTCCTTTTTACAGGTTAGTTCCTGAAGCTGCTGCTGCTGTAACAGTTTACTATCTGGAATTGCTAGGTTGCTTTCCTTAATTTTTTTTTCATTAACTCCCTTGATATTCTTAATGTTTTGTTCTTCCAGATGAATTTTGTTACTATATTTTCTAGCTGTATTTTTTGGTAGTTTGATTGATATGGCCCTGAATTAGTAAATTAGTTTAGTAGAATTGACTTCTCTATAATAGTGGCTCAGCCTACATGTGAGCAATTAATATTTTTTTTCTGATTTTTGATATTTTCATTCAGATCTCTCTTTATTTGTGTGAAAAGTATTTTGTAATTGTGTTCATATGATTCCTGGGTTTTTCTTGGCAGGTAGACTCCCAAGTATTTTATATTGTCTACAGTTATTTTAAATGGAATTACTCCATCTCTTGCTGCTGGACTTTATTGGTAATATGTAGAAATGCTGATGATTTATGTAGTTTTATTTTATTTCTGTCCTGCAACTTTGCTAATGTTAATTATTTCACCTAGTTTTTTCATTGATTCTCTAGGAGTCTCCAAGAATACCATCATATCATCTGTAAGGAATGATGATTTTGTTTCCTCGTTGCCCATTCTGACTCCTTCTATTTCTTTTTGTTCTCTTATTGCTATAGTTGGCATTTCTAGTACAATATTGAATGATAGTGGTGATAGTGGGCATCCTTGTTTCACCTCGATCTTATTAGGAAGGCTTCTAGCTTATTCACATTACAGATAATACTTACTGATGGTTTTAGATAACTATTACTTATCATTTTAAGGAAAGCTCCATTTCTTCTTATGCTTTCCAGTGTTTTTAGTAGAAAGGAGTGTTATGTTTTGTCAGAAGCTTTTTCTGCATCTATTCAGATAATCATATGATTTATGTTGTTACTGTCATTGATATGGTCAATTATGCTGATCATTTTCCTAATATTGAATCAGCCCTTATTCCTGGTATAAATCCCACGTGGTCATAGTGTATGATCTTTGTAATATATTGCTGTAATCTCCAAGCTAGTATTTTATTTAAAAATTTTGCAACAATATTCATTAGGGAAATTGGTCTATAGATTTCTTTCTCCGTTTTCACTCTTCCTGGTTTAGATATAAATACCAAATTTGTGTCATAAAAGGAATTTGGTGGGATTCCTTCTTTGCCTATTTTTCCAAATAGTTTACATAGCATTAGAATTAATTGTTCTTTAAATATTTGGTAGAATACACTTATGAATCCGTCTGGTCCTGGAGATTTTTTTAGGGAGCTCGTTGATGACTTGTACAATTTCTTTTTCTATGATAGGGTTATTTAAGTATTCTATTTCTTCTTCTGTTGATCTGGGCAATTTGTATTTTTGTGAATATTCATCTATTTCACTTAGATTATCAGATTTATTGCCATGTAATTGGGCAAAATAGCTCTTAACAATTACTTTAATTTCATCTTCATTGGTGGTGAATTCAACCTTTTCATTTTTGATACTGGTGATTTGCTTTTCTTTTTAAAATCAAATTAGCTAATGGTTTACATATTTTATTAGGTTTTTTTTTCATAAAACCAGTTCCTAGTTTTATTTATTAGTTCAGTGGTTTTCTTACTTTCAACTTTATTTATGTCTCTTTTGATTTTCAGGATTTCCTATTTGGGGTTTAATTAAGGGTTTTTTTAATTTGTTTATTTTTTTAGGTGTGCACCCAATTTATTGATCTGATCTTTCTCTTTTTTATTGATGTAAGCATTTAGAGGTATAAATTTTCCTCTAAGTACTGCTTTGACTGCATCCCATAAATTTTGGTATGTTGTCTCATGGTTGTCATTCTCTTTAATTTCTTTAAATTTAAATTTTAAATTTTAAATTTCCATGATTTGTTTATTGACCCACTCATTCTTTAGGATTAAATTATTTATTTCTGAATGAATTTAAAATCTATCTTTCCACAGCCCTTTATCAGATCATAGTGCAATTTATATTGCATTATGATCTGAAAAGAATACATTTAATATTTCTGCTTTTCTGCATTTGTCTTGAGGTTTTTATGCCCTAATACATGGTCAGTTTTTGTGTAGGTGCCATGTACCCTTGAGAAAAAGGTATATTCCTTTCTATTCCCATTCAATTTTCTCCAGAAAAAATATCTATCATATCTAACTTTTCTAAAAGTCTATTCATCTCCTTAACTTCTTTCTTCTTTATTGTTTTGGTTAGATTTATCTAGTTATGAGAGAGGAAAACTGAGACCTTCCACTGGTGTAGTTTTACTGTCCATTTCTTCCTGTTTAATTTAATTTCTCCTTCAAAAAATTTAGATGCTATTTGTAATTTCCTTGCTTATCTCTTTCAATTAGAACTATTTTTGCTTTTGCTTTGTCTGAAATCATGATTGCTACACCTGCTTTTTTTTTTTTTTTTAACTTCAGCTAAAGCATAATAGATTCTGTTCCATACCCTTACTTTTACTCTCTGCATGTCTTTCTGCTTCAGGTGTGTTTCTTATAAACATTATATTGTGAGATTCTGGTTTTTAATCTACTCTATTGTCTGCTTCCATTTTATGGGTGAGTTCATCCCATTCACGTTCACAGTTGTGATTACTAACTGTGTATTTCCCTCTATCCTGTTTTTCTAATTCTCCTTCTCCTCATCCTTCTTCCCCTCTTCCCCCTTCCCTCTCCCCTTCTTCCTCCTCTTCCTTCTTCTTTTTCTTCTTTTTCTCTTCTCCCTCTCCTTCCTTTTACCCTCTCCCTCCTCAGAAGTGTTTTGCTTCTGACCACTACTTCCCCAATCTGCCCTCCCTTCTATCAGTCTCTGTCCCTCCCTTCTCTCATCCCCCTTCCTCCTCCTTCTCTGTAGGGTAAGATAGATTTCTTTACCCAACTGAGTGTTTACATTATTTCCTCTATTAGCTAATTCTGATGAGAATAAGGTTCAAGGGTTGCTGACCACCCCCTCCCCCATTTCTCCTTCCACTGTAAAAACTCTTCCTTGAGTACTTCATTTATGTGAGAAAATTATACCCATTATACCTTTCCTTTCCCCCTTCTCCCAGTGCATCTCTCTTTCTCACCTCTTAATTTAATTTTTTTGGATAACATCCCATTGTTGTCAACTCATGCACATGCTCTCTGTCTATTTATACTTCTTTTAACTGCCCTAATAATGATAATTCTTAGAAATTACAAGTATCATCTTCCCTTGTAAGAATATAAACAGTTTACCCTTATTGAATACCTTACAATTTCTCTTCCCTGTTTATCTTTTTGTGCTTCTCTTGAGTCTTATGTTTGAATGTCAGATTTTCTATTCAGTTCGGGTCTTTTCATCAGGAATGCTTGACAACCCTCTATTTCACTAAATCTTCCTTTTTCCCCTTGAAGGATTATCCTCAGTTTCACTGGGTAGGTGATTCTTGGTTGTATAGCTCCTTTACCCTCTGGAATTACATTCTATGCCCTCCAGTTCTTTGGTGTAGAAGATGCTAAATCTTATATTTTCCTGACTATGGCTCCATGATATTTGAATTGTTTCTTTCTGGTTGCTTGCAATATTTTCTCCTTGACCTGGGAGCTCTGGAATTTGGCTATAATATTCCTGGGAATTTTCATTTTGATATCTCTTTCAGGTGGTGATCAGTGGATTTTTTCAATTTCTATTTTACCCTCTGGTTCTAGGATGTTGGAGGGGCGGGGAGGAGGGCAGTTTTCCTTGATGATTTCTTGAAATATGGTATCTCAGCTCTTACTTTGATCATGACTTTCAGGTAATCCAACAATTCTTAAATTATCTCTCCACAATCTATTTTCCAGGTCAGTTGTTTTTCCTGTGAGATATTTCACATTTTCTTCTATATTTTCATTCTTTTGATGTTATTTGATTATTTCTTGGTGTCTCATGGAGTCATTAGCTTCTACTTGCCTAGTTCTAATTTTTAAGGAGTTGTTTACTTCAGTGAGCTTTTGTACCTTCTTTTCCATTTGGCCAATTCTACTTTGTAAGGAGTTGTTTTCTTGTGAATTTTTGTACATCTTTTCTCATTTTTTGTGCTTCCCTTTACCAAGCTGTTGATTCTTTTTTCACAATTCTCTTGCAAAACTCTCATTTCTTTCCCCCATTTTTCCTTTACCTCTCTTATTTGATTTTTACAATCCTTTTTGAGCTCTTCCAGGAACTTTTTTGGGGGTCTGACACCAGTTCACAGTTTTCTAGGAGGTTTTGCATGTAGCCATTTTGACATTGTTGTCCCTTTCTGGTTTTGTGTTTTGATTTTCCCTGTTACCATAGGAACTTTCTATGCACAGGTTCTTTTTTTCTTGTTTGTTCATTTTCCCAGCCTATTTCTTGACTTCTGACTTTTCGTTAAAGTTGATCTCTGTTCTTGTGCTGGAGGATGCACTGTCTCAAGCTCTAGGTTTTTTGTGCAGGTGCTTTTAGAGGGAATTCTAGGGACCTATAAGTTTTCAGTTCTTCCAAAGTGGTATGATCTAAAGAGAGACGTGGTCACTGCTGTCCTGGATTATACTCTGGTCTGTGAGTGACCACAAGCACTCTTTTCCACCTGGGAACTGTGACCAGGGTCCCTGCTCCCCTGAGGCTGAGAGCTGTATTGTGCTAGTGGTCTTCCTCATCCTGAGACTATGACCTGGCCCCATGACCTGGATCACCATATGGGCAATACAACAGAGTCTTGCAGCCACTGCCAGCAAAGTTTCCCCTCTAATCTCTTTCTGATCAGTTATCTGTCCCCCTTATCATCTGTGGGCTGAGAGTTTCTAACTCACTGCTGCCTTTTCAGTTGCCCCCAAGGTCTGTGCTGGATCATGCTCTACTCTCACCCCAGTGAGACAGACTTTTCCTGTTGACTTCTTAATTGTCTTAGGCTGGAAAATTGTTTCACCCTGTCTTTTTGTTGGTTCTCTCACTCTAGAATTCATTTTGAGGTGTTATTTTAAAGTTGTTTGGAGAGGAATTTGGGAGTGCTCATATGAATGAATCCCTGCCTTTTCTCTGCCATCATGGCTTCACCCCCACCCCCACACCCTAAGAAAGAGGTGTTTCTAAGAAATAATGTAGGGGAAAACATAGGCAGGACTTGAAATTTGGATTGGATGGGAACAATACTGATGTCTCCAGCATGGGGATATGGAACAAAAAATTATGTTTAAGGTACTGATGAGTCATAGAAATTCAGAGTTGGATCATCTTAGACATGATCTAGTCCAGAGGTATGAAATATACGTCCTGCTCCTGAATGATGCTGGAATCAGATTAAAATGTGTTTGGGAAACATTTAACAAAATAAATAAAAATACAATAAAACATAGCTAATTTTAATTTGTGGTCTTCTTAGTCAGTATTTGGTCCAAAGTGATCATTTTATTTGGTTTAGTGACCCCCATTTCTATTTGAGTTTGATGCCGCTGATATAGTCCAATCCCATAATATTATAGATGAAGCAACTGAGGTCCAAAGAGCTGAATTATCTTGCCCAAGGCCATATAGCTAGTTGCAGTTTTGGGACTAGAATTTGGTTATTTTTGCTCGTCTGTTGTTCTTATGACCATATCATTTCCACCACCTTAGCAATCCAGTGTAAAGAAATGGAAATGAGGAAGCTGAAAAGTTCTTTGGTGAAGAAAGCATATTTCTTTGTAGGTGGCAGCTTGGATATGTGAGGCAGCATGGTATAGTATTGGCGTCAGAGAACCAGTGTTCAAATTCTGACTCTGCTGATTGTTAACTTCTTTTTTTTTTTTTTTAAGGCAACTGGGGTTAAGTGACTTGCCCAGGGTAGTACGTGTCAAGTGTTTGGTCTGAGGCCATATTTGACCTCAGGTCCTCCTGACTTCAGGGCTGGTGCTCTATCCACTGTGCCACCTAGCTGCCCCCGATTGTTAAGTTCTTACACGGGTGATATAACTGAACATGTAAAAGTTTATGAAATTTAGAGATTCATTTTTGTTTCCTGTAATAGATTGTTCTATATGGCATATAAGGATATAGTGGAAAAAGCACTGGGTTAGATTTAGGAGATCTACTTTCAAGTGCTAGCTCTAACCCTTACTCACTGTGTACCTTTTGGAAAGTTTTTTCAATCTTCTGTGAGCCTCAGTTTACTGATCCATGAAATGGGAATAGTAATTTTTATACTACATACAAATATAAAATTACAAAATACCTTCAAAAGTGTTGGGAGGGAAACATTATGTAAACTGTGGCATGCTATATAACTGAGCTATTAGTGTCTAATTGGATTAGAATTCCTTCAAATTTTCACTTTCTAATTTTCAGACTTTTGGCACCTACTTTTCATAATTCACCCAGCAATAATGAGAAAAAAGAAAACATGTTCAGTAGCAATGAAAGGTAAGTGGGGAAATAAGATGTGTTTTGATTAAATGAAATAATATTTGCAAAGTTCTTAGTACAGTGGATGGCACATAGTAGGGGCTCTGTGATTGCTCATTCCTTCCTCCCTCTCCCTGAAGGAAGATGATACACACAGAAGGGATGCAAGAAAACATGTATATTCCACTTTACTAGCATCTGCTGAGGCTCCATCTTAATCTGGTTCAGATAAGTAAAGCCACACGCATAACTGTTCCCAAGAAATAACCTCTATTCAGACATAGCACAACTTCTAGACAACCCACAGCTGTAGTCTGAGGTAGACTGAAAAACTTAGAGCTTCCTATAAACACTGAAGTCTAAGATAAACAGACCTTTGATACCTTTGAATACACCAATCATGAATGGGTCTGATAAAGTTAAACACAGGGGTTAGAATAATTCCCTTGATATCAGAGTCTAGATTCATGTATATCATCAGTCACTCCAGCTGTCTCCGTCTTCATGTCTTCATTCCCTCCTTTCTCTGGGGAGAATACCCCAGCAAAGCCAACCTGTATCAATGCCTTACACTCCTGCCAAGGCTAATCCCTCTATGTAGGCTTTTGATTCATTCCTTTCAGTCTTCTTTGGGAGCTTGGTCCTTTGAAAGTTCATATTTTGTGTTTTACCATAGTCTCTGTCTACTGGTTCCTTTTCCATTACCTTCAAATATGCTCAGGTTTCCTTAATATTTTTAAAAATTAAATTGAAAATTTTCAATGAACAAAAATCTATTTTTTCTCCCTCTTATATCTCTTCCCATTGAGAAAAAAGGAAAATTTTTTTTAGCAAATATATCTAGTCAAACAAAATCAGTTCCCACATTGGCCATATACAAAATAAATATATTTCTCAATCAGAATCTTGAGTGTATCACTTTTCTGTCAGGAGGTAGTTGGCATATTGCATCCTGGGTCCTCCAGAATCATGGAATAGTGGTTGGCCATATCATTGCTTATAGTTTTTAAGTTTTTCAAAGTTGTTAGTTTTTATGATATTGTCTTCATATAAATTACTCTCCTGGTTCTGCTCATTTCACTCTATGTCATTTCATACAAATCTTCCTAGGTTTCTCCAAAGATGACCCTTTCATAATTTCTTATAGCATCATAGTATTCCATTATATTCATATGTCACAATTTATTCAGGCATCCTCCAATTCTTAGGTGCCCCTTGGTTTCCAGTTTCTTTGCCACCACAAAAAAAAGAGCTACTATAAATATTTTTGTACATATGAGTCCTTTTCCTTTCTTTGCTCTCTTTGGCCTAGTATACTGGGTCAAAGGGTAGTATTGTTGGATCAGTCTAGTATTGCTAGGTCAAAAAGTATGCACAGTTTAGTAACTTTTGAGGGCATGGTTCCAAGTTATTTTCTAGAAAGGCTAGACCAAATTCACAGCTCCACCATAAATGCAGCTATTTTCCAGTAGCTCCTCCAGTTTGTCATTTGTTAGCCCCCAGCTCCTAACCAAAATCTGTATTTCTAAAAAAACAACTTAGTGTTTTGAGAAAAATGGATAAAAATCTATCTTTATATCTTCACTTGGGATGTTTCCCCCTTCATTTATTTCCTCCTACCTGCACTTCCCTATAAGTACAAGTACAAGTAGTTATTGTTAGTGGTTGCTAGAGTTTCTAAGAAAAAGTAAACAGGTAAAACAAGGAAAAGGTAAATAAATTTTCCCTATTCTATGCCCAGAACAAAAGGTTTTAAGATGCCATAAAGAGATTCTTGGAAGTGAAGGAGACAAAAGATTAATGCCTTAGACTTGTCAGAGAGAGGCAGCTTCAGCAACAGTTCTTCTATCCTAACATCTGCATTGGTGCCCACTTGGCCTAAGCAGCCTTGCCACTTGAGTCATGGCCCACTTCACTGTGGTGGTTGCCTCTGCTGAACTTTTGCTTTTTCTTACTTTACCTGGCTTTTTATAGCTTCTCTTTCTCTAAGCTTCATGTGGCTTCCTACAGCTTCCCCTTGTCCGGGTCCATGATTTTCTTGTTCATCCAGTCAGGAACTGGGTTCCCCATTAATTCCATCTCCTGGACTCAGTGGAATAACATCTGGAGTTCCCTGTGTGTAGTAAGTGCTTAACAAATGCATTCTCTATTTTTACATATCCAAAGGTCACCCTGAAGTGTGGCCTATCATTCTTTGTTTTATTGCATTGCTTTCTTTTTGATTCACTCAAGGCACTAATTTGCATGTTATCCTCTGGGTTGCTGCATTTTACAATTAGTTTAACAACTTTTGGGGCAGCTAGGTGGCGCAGTGGATAGAGCACCAGCCCTGAAGTCAGGAGGACTTGAGTTCAAATATGGCCTCAGACACATAACACTTACTAGCTGTGTGACCCTGGGCAAGTCACTTAACCCCAATTGCCTAACCAAAAAAAAAAAAAAAATAGTTTAACAACTTTTTTTCCTGTCATTGTTAGTGAAAGACCAACTCCATTAAAAGAGCAAATCAGAATTCATTGAGAGAGACATTCAGAGCATCTAGCTCCAGTAAAAGCCCATAGCATTTTAGAGAGAGTGTCCAGACTGGTCTCTTATTTTTCTGTACTTTAGAGTTAGATAGAATCTGCCGTGGCCCCTTATTGCCTCTGGAACAAGCAAAATATAAACACGTTAGCCTGGCGTTGAAGATGCTGCACTGTTTGGTTACAGTCCAGTAACACTTTGTTAGGCATTTGGCATGCATTGCTTAATAAATCAATATACTCAGAAGATTGAAGCTTTGTTTTCCTTAGTCATTTCATCTTTCATTCACCACAAGGTCTGGGTTGTGGAGTAGGGAAGAGGTAGAGCTAGGCAATATATTATATTTGCTTTCCTAATTTCCTTATGGTTCTAAGACCTATTCTAAGTCCTTATGATTCCTGTGCACTGGCTACCTTGGATTTTTTTATACTTAAGTGACTATGGTCAGAGAAGGACATTTTTTGCTAGAACAATGAGCATGGGACTTGTTATATTGTAGGATAGGGATGGATGAGTTTACTCATATGAACTTCAGGGCCAAAGAGGAAATAACCAAATGGTTCATAGGCAATACATAATACTTTAAAACCTCAAAATAATTAATGAACTGTCTTACTTTAAGGTTTCTCAAGGATTTTGATGACATAACAACACTTAACAGTGGTGGATTTGGCCAAGTTTTTAAAGGAAAACACACAGTTGACGGCAACTTTTACGCCATTAAACGTGTTACGTTTGATAATGAGTAAGTAGAGAACTTCTAAGTTGCTTTTAAGGAGTGACTAATTCTATAGTATTGCTTTCTGTACTTAAAATACTGCAGCTTTAAAATTTACTAGGAGAGAGAATACATGGAACTGTCTGTCTTCTAATCATTATACAACCTGCTCTTGTTTCTTTCTTGCCTTTCTTAGATCTGACCCGGCCCTCTCAGTAGATAGTGAAAGATTCATTTGTTAATTACGTGCTAGATACTATAAAAAGGAATTTATTTTGAGACTCACCCAATTCCTCCCTCATTTTTACTGGGCTCATTGATCTTGTTTGAATAATAAATTCATTTAATGGAGGTTGTTCCTAATAGTAGGAAGATAATATCTTAATTCAGAGCTGGAAGGGACTTCAGAAGCCATTTATTCCAACTGTCTCATTTTACTGAGGAGAAATTGAAACCCAGAGTTGCTTGGTGACTTTCCTGACCAACACAACAGTAGCAAATGTCAAAATTGAAATTTAATTGGAAATTAATTTCTGAATCAAAATCCAAGCTCTTTTCATTGTACTATCAGCTGGAAGAAAAATGCAGCTCATTTAGTTATACTTCCTTTTAATAATGAAGAAACTGACACCCAGAGAGGTTCTATCAGCTTACCCAAGTTTACCCAGTTTGTTAATAGAAAAGAAGATGTGGTTACTTGCTTCCTGGTCCACATCCTCTTTTTCACTGATTTTTTTTTTGGTATGTATGTTGTTGAAATAGCCTGCAGGTACAGGACTATGTGCCATGTGGCCTACTGTAGCCATGTAGCCTACTATTAAGTTCCAGGTCATAGGTGCAGAGCAGAGAGGAGTAGTCATGAGTATGAGCTCTAGCTGTATATTGGGCAAGGAACAAGTTCTGGAAGCAAATAGTATCCTATGGCTCTGATTCTAGCAGCAGAGCAGCCCTAGTTCTAGCTTCCAGCCCAGCATGGAAGCCTTCAGTGGAATCACCAGGGCAGCAGTCCCAGACCAAAGGGGAGCCTGACCCTGTAGAACTTCCCAATGGGGCTAATAATATCTGAGTCTAATAGCAGTCTACTGAAACTCCCAACCAGGGACAAGCTGAAAGATCAACCCTGGACTAGTAAGCTGCAGAGCTCAGACCCAGGAGGGCACTGAGCAGACCTTGCCCTGGGTTACATCACTTTAGGAGCACTGAAAGCTTGCAGATCTTAAACCTGAGCTGTAAAAGCAGCTGAAGGTTCTAAGGGGACAGAAGTTTAGGTCAGCCATTCCCCAAGCATGTAGTATCCTGAGCCCAGAAATAACATAATTTCCAAAGTCAAGAAGTAAGTTGCAAAAATGAGCAAATAGCAACAACAAAAATCCCATCATAAAGAGCTATTATGGAGATAGGGAAGCTCAGGACACAAACCCAGAAGAAGAGACTGACTCAAAAACATCTACAAAAAAAGCCTCAAAGAAAAATGCAGCTTGGGCACAACTCCAACAAGAATTTCTAGAGAGGTAAAGCAAAAGTTTTTAAAAGAGCAAAACATGATTTGAAAAAGTAAATAAGAGAGGCAGAGGGAAAAAATGAGGAAAGAAATAAAAGCTAGTGAAGAAACATATGAAAAGAGAATTACCATCTTGGAACAAGAAGTACAAAACCTTACTAAAGAAAATAGTGCCTTGAAAATTAGGATTGACCAAAAAGAAGCAAATGACTCCATGACATATCAAGAAATAAAAAAATAGAATATGAAGTAACTCAAAGGAAAAAACTGACCTGGAAAGCAAATCAAGGAGAAATAATATAAGATTCATTGGATTACCTGAAATCCATAAATGAAAAGGAACCTAGACATCTTATTTTAATACATCATAAAAGAAAAATTCACAGATATCTTAAATCCAGAGGACAAAGTAGAAATTGAAAGAATCCCATGTTCACCTTCTGAAAGAAACTCCAAAATGAAAATTCCTAGGAATATTATAACCAAAGTTCAAAGTTCCTAGGTTAAGGAAGAAATACTGCAAACTTCTAGAGAGAAAAAATTCAAGTACAGAGGAGCCATAGTCAAGATCACGCAAGATTCAGCTGCTACCATTTTAAAGAAACAGAACTTGGAATCTGATATTCCAGAAAACAAGGAATCTAGGTTTACAATCAAGAATAAATTACTCAGCAAAGCTGAGTTAGGAAAAAAAATATAATTGAACAAATAAAAGTTAATATTATTATGGGGGGGAGTGAAAGGGAAATAGAGGACTTCTAAGCATTCCTGATGAAAAGACTCGAACTGAATAGAAAAGTTTACTTACAAACATAGGAGTCAAGAGAAGCATAAAAACTCCTTCCCTATCTCCTCCAATCCATTCCCCAGACCCAGACCCTTCTTACCTCTTTTCTTCTCAGCACCAGATTCCTGTCTGCCCTGCCAGGTGTGTGGTGGCTTTCTTCAGTAACAAGGCTGCCCTTTCTAGGTCTTGATATTGGTGAGATGGGATCTCTTAAATGGATTTTCTTTGTGAGGGAGGCCTGTAAGAGGTTCATTGCAGATAAGAACTAAAGCTATGGTCTATATTTTCATTGGAAATGTATCCAGTTATGGAATAATATATCGTACCAACTTGTTAGGATTTTTTTGCTGTTTTTTTCAATGTATTGTAGTTTTCTGAATATTTTAATATGTTTTTTCCATTAAAAAACAGAGAAGCATAAAAAGGTAAATGTGAGCAAGAAAGCTTAGTGACTAAGACAAGACTGAACAATTTACATTCGTTTATGGAAATATGAAACATATAGACTCATAATTCTTTCATTATCAGGAGTCAAAGAGAGAGCCTAATTAGACCAAAGGCCTGAGAATAATTGTTATGTTGTGATGATTTCAGAAGAAGAATGGAAAAGTGAGAAAGAGGAATATGCTGAGATGGGATGGGGGAAGGGAGAGAAAGAAAGAGAAAAATTATTTTACATATATGGAATGCACAAGTAAAAGTCTATATAACAAGGAGGAGGCAGAGGAGAGAGTGCAACCATTGAAACTTACTCTCATCTTAACTGGTCAAAGTATGTAAGAACACACATAAACATACTTGGGTACAAAAATACATCTTGCCCAACAAGGAAATAGGAAAGAAAATATTTAGGAGAAAAGGAGAAATAAGAAGGAAGATAGATTAAAGAAAGGACTAATCAGAAGCAAAACAAACTCTTAAAGAGGGAGTGGGGAAAAAGAGAAGGAATAGTTTAAGAGAATAGGATGGAGAGAAACACACAATTAGCAACCATAACTGTGAATATGAATGGGATCAACTCACCCCTAAAATGGAAGAAGATAGCAAAACGGATTAGAAAACAGAATACAACAATATGTTGTTAACAAGAAATACACTTGAAACAGAATGCACACAGAACTAAAATAACAGGCTAGAGCAGAATCTATTATGCTTCACTGAAGTAAAAAAAAAAGTAGGAGTAGCCATCCTGATCTCAGACAAAGCCACACAAAAATAGACCTAAATAAAAGAGATAAACAAGGTAACTAACTGTATTTTGCTAAAAGGTACTATAGACAATGTACCAAATGACATAGCATCCAGATTCTTTAAGAAAAAGCTAAATGAACTATAGAGAAAAATAGATGGTAAAAATGTAAACAGAAGAAAAATGAAAGACCTGAATAGAATTTTAGAAAAATTAGATATGATAGACTTCTGAAAAATATTGAAATTGAGTAGAAAGGAATATATCTATTCTCAGTTTTACCTGGTGCTTTTACAAAAAAAAATGACCATGAATCAGGGCATAAAAATGTCACAGACAATGCATGACACAGTTCATGATATTTGTTAACTGTTGTGATCATCAACTAGATGTTATGTTGATGAATCCCTAGGGCCCCTCTGCCCCCAATTCCAGTAGGAAATGTGGCCAGCTTGCTATTTACTAAAGACAATCAACAATGACCTAAAGAATAACTTAAGGAAATTTGGTCTAAATAATGATCATGAGAATGACCAGAAGGCATTCTGGGTCTAGCCAAAATGTATGGGAATACTAAATCTAAAGGAAACTTCTGAACAAGGTTCATGGCAATGATTCCAAAGCTGGGAAGTTAGCACAGGGTTGTCTATGGTTATTATATTACAAAGAGAATTATGAATCTAAGGAAGACAATGATTTGTCTCATGGGATTTCCACATCTGAGATAACCCATGAGACCAAATGCATATCTATTTTTGTTTGACATCCAATATTTATTTGTTTATTTACTCACTAAACAAAAAAATGCTATGTGCACTGTGCTGTATTAAATTCTGAGGGACATAAACAAATGTAGAATAGATCATGATCTAGAATGAAAAGTTTCTTCTGATCTTTTTTTTTTAAAAACCAGGAAAGTAAGGCGTGAAGTAAAAGCTTTGGCCAGACTTGATCATGAAAATATTGTTAAGTATAAACTGTGTTGGGTTGGAGAAGATACTTTTGATCCTGAACAGAGTGGATGTGTTTCAAGGTAATTCTCCTTTTCATAAATCTCTAATATTAGTAACTCACTACACAAAATGATGTAAAAGGAGTCATTGCTTTCTTCTGTCATATATTACGTTCTTGGTATAAAATGTTATCCCTAGGGAAAAATATATATTGTTGATATTCAGTCATAAGATGAGGTATTTGGGTATGATAGTAAAATGTCAGAGACTTAAAAAAGTAATATGAAGCTATATTGCTCAATAAAATGTTATAACTACTGATTTTATTGAGCTATTTAAAATTACTGAGTTTTGGACTTATTTGGAATATGCCAGACTTATTTCATATTCTACTTAATTTAGCAAGGATTTATTAATTCTTACTTTGTACCAGGCACTGTGCTAGATTCTGGGGTACAAAGACAAAAATGAAACAGACCTTATCCTCAAGGAATTTAGAACATGTTTACATTTGACATCATTATATTAACATTTTGACAAGTTAAATTTACCAAGTGTGTTCTTAGAGTTGGCCTAGGAAAGTTTATGGTGGGAGCACTGTAGTGACCATAAACCTAGATCATACATTCTTGATTATTTGCAAAAACCTAAGAGAGAAGAGGTTTGAGTGAAATAAAATAATAAATCATACAGGATCGTTTTAGACTTTAGATTTTTTCTCACTATCTCACACATGTACTTAGAAAATCACATATTCATACCCCTAGACTATTTCCTCAATTCTGGTATTGCTCTCAGTAATTTAGTATTCAGGAATAAGGAAAGGGGGGAAAGTTCCCAATTACCACATATTAATTTAAGAAGTGAGTAATCAGCAAAATGGAACATTCATTCGTGCAGAGTTGACTTCAAGTGAAGCTCTCAAGCTAGGACGAACTACACTAATTTACGGGATCCTGAACCAAAATGAATTTCAATCTTTAAATGATGACTTACTTTACTAAAGTTTAAAAAATGACTTATACTTTCCTCCATATCTCTTTAAATACCCAATAGATACAACTGTGAATTACAGCCAATGTTTTCTAAATCATTTAAGCTAAGTATATTATCAGATATGTTTAATGTTTAGTGATTTTGTTCGGCTTTTTTCTTTCTCTTAAAATCTTTGTTGCAAGAGATGGTTCAGTGGTTAGGGGAGCAGGGAAGGATATATTTAGAAATGAATGTGAAATAAAAACAAAGAAATAAATTTTAAAAAATATCTGGAAAAAAACAGGTATTTCTTTTTCTTTCTTTTTTTTTTTTTTGTGAGGCAATTGGGATTAAATGACTTGCCCAGAGTCACACAACTAGTAAGCATTATGTGTCTGAGGCCGGGTTTGAACTCAGGTCCTCCTGACTTCAGGGCCAGTGCTCTATCCACTGTGCTACCTAGCTGCCCCAAAAAATAGATATTTCAAAATAGTCTCCAAACCTTATCTGAAACAAACTTATAAAACTCATGGTTTGGGACCATAAACTAACTGGACATTAGCTTTTATACAAAAACATATATGCATACATACACACATAATATACAAATATATTTTATATGTGTATAGACTATATATATGTGTGTACATATACATATACACACATGTATGTGTGTATATGTATACCCATATGCATATATGGGTATATGTATGTGTGTTTGTTATATATGTATATGTGTATATAATTATATATGTATACATATGTACATCTATCTATAATATAAATTGCAAAGAGAGTGACATACATTTGAAGAAATAAAATTCCCTCATCCAGAAGTTCCAGATAGCAGCGAAATCACAGATCTAGTCTCAGTCTTAGTCTCAGTCTCTCTCTCTCTCTCTCTTTCTCTCTCTCTCTCTCATCACATGTGTATATATATATATATTATATATGTGTAAAAATATATAGAGTTAATAACATTTTGCAAACTTTAAAGCACTAGCACTACATAAATCTGTCTTCCCTAAGCTCCTTGAGGAACTTTTTTTTGTCATTTTGTCATTTTTGTCTTTGTATTCCCAGCATCTTTCACAAAAGCTGGAACATAGTAGGATCTTTTTTTTTCTTGACCCAATCAATTTTTTATTCAGTGAAAAAAGTTGACAGAGACAAAAATCCTTTAAAATTCTGTGACAATAAAGTAAAATCTTTAGCAGAAATCACTGACTTAAGAAACTTATCAAGGCAATTTAAATTATCAACATCTAATGTTACTTTAGAGAGGAACAAATATAGTTTTGCTTAAATAAGAGCAGTATAGGATTTATTTTTTTCTGCAAATGCTTGTGAATTTGCTTAAAAATTTTAATTTTAATGATTCCTAACAGAATCTCAACTGAGAAGCTCTATGGCAAATAGGAGAGTAATGTTGTTCCATTTCACCATTCACTCTTTCATTCCTCTAAGATACTATACATGAGACAAGAGATTACTTGGCTCTTAAAATTTGTGATATGACTGCTCTAAATGAGTGGGCAGAAACATATATGCAATAAATCCTCCCTCAGTCTCTTTTCCTATTAAGTGGTAATGATACCTTTTTGAAAACATACCTCTCATCAGCATGCTGCCAGTATGTTATCTTATGCCATTGCTTAGGCTTGCATAGAGAAGAATCTGTATAAACTCAGTGTACTGGTTTTTAAACATTCAAGTTAAGACTAATTAGATAGCAGGACTTTCAAAGAAGAGTCCTAGTATAAGCTGTTTCAAAGATGCTTGCCTGAATATTTAATTAACATAAGGTGGCATTCAGTTTGATTATTTTCCTAGATGCTTTCTTTGCAAGAATTTTATTCTTTGCCAGTGAAAGATGAAATAGTCTGGAAGACCTGCAGTCAGTAGACAGTTTTGGGTGAGGGGTTCTCCATCAGTAGCAGCAACCTTTGTGAAGAAGGAATCAAACTGCTAGGATGGAGTTTCCCCCAGGAGGAAAATTTGGAGATGTATTTTCACAAGATGCAGTCACTAGTGTTTAAACCAGGGGTGGGGAACCAGCGGCCTTGAGGCCACACGTGGCCTTCTAGGTCCTTGGGTTTGGCCTTTTTACTGAGTCCAAGTTTTACAGTTTATTAAGGGGATTTGTTCTGTGAAGTTTGGATTCAGTCAAAGGGCCATACCTGAGGATCTAGAGGGCCACATATGACCTTGAGGATATAGGTTCCCCAACGCTGCTCTAAACCAACTGATAGAATGACTGAATAAAGCAGGAACTTAATAAAATGCTTACTGATTAATTGATGGTGATTACTGCTAAATTATTTCATGCTGGAATATAAATCCATATAATTCATAAATCCAAAGAGATTCCTTAGGATATTTCACAGCCAAGTTTACCTAAACCTTTTCTTTCTGGAAAAAAAAAAACAACTCTGTCTTCCTAAATGGAGAATTAAATATAATGTTGTTTGACACTTTAATTTTTAGAACTCTTTATTCACTGCTTTCAAACTTTTTGTTTTAATTGACTGAGTAACTTTTGTCAATTCATTTTTGTAAGTACCAACTGCTACTCATTTGTAGATCAGCCTTAGGTGAAACCAACTAGAAAACTGGCTGTGGACAGACTATGAAAGTGTTTAAAGTATTTTACCATGTCCAAAAGCTTCAATCAACCTATTAAATTTTTTTTTCCCTATCAGCCCATCTTCATTGATAATTTGCTGTTTCCTTCATCTTTCCTTGACTTAATGCTCTTCAGTCAACAGTATCTCCAGCGGAAGAACTTGGGGAACATTTCTTGTCTGTTCCTTCTTAAGTTTTTCTCCCCACTGTTCCCCTCTTGTAGACTAATTCTCTGTCCTCTCACAAAGACTAGCTACTTCCCACTTAGAGGATCAGGGATGGAGGAGGTGGCATTTGAGCTGAGACAGTGATTGATAGGATTTTGACAGGTGGGAGATTCAATCCAACAAATATTTTCAATATATATACATATATATGTATATATACATGTACACACATATACATACATACATACATATATATGTGTGTGTCTGTGCTTTGCTAGGGACATGAAGACAAAAATGAAAGTCTCTTCAAGGAATGTACAAATTATTTAGTTCAGGAGAAGGTCAAAATGAATAGTATGTAGGATGGCACTAAGGGCATACAGGAAGAAAATGGAAAAAAGACCCATGGTAAAAAAAAAAAAAAGGTAGAATTAAAAAGGCATCGATTTTTCGAGAATGCAAAGAGTTGATGTTCTATAAGCTCTGGCATGTGGAACTTGATAGCATTTAGACCCTCCCTATCTCCCAAAGATAGAGGTTTTTAAAATCAACAAGAATTTATCAATTCCTAATTAATAATAAATTAATGCTATGTCCCAGGCACTATTGATAGTCCTGGGGGATACAAATACAAAGAATGAAATAATTGCTACTCATAAGGAGCTTACATTTGCTCACTTTGTGCTATCAGTACAACTAATAAATGTTCTTCTGCTGTGGTATAGGGTGGATTTAGGGTAATTTGGAATATGAGTTAGAGAAAGAAAGGGTAGTGGTTCCTTTTTTGAGGTGATTAGGAAGTAATTACCATCTCCTAGGTATTGTGTATCTCCCTCCCCTTCAGTGAAGGCTGATTGTTGTAGTCGTTTTCTCTGAATGTATCTCTGTGTATCTCATGTAAAGTATTTGTCTCAAAGAGGTGATTTGTACAGGGGAATTCACTTGTGGTATAAGGAGAGCTCACATGCTTGTCTATTAACTCTTGAGAACTCTTCCATCTCCACAACTGAGGTGTTTCCCTGATGTGATGAATTTCAACACCAGATGTAAATTATCTTTGTAGTCTCAATTCTTTAGGATTGTTCATGTCATTACTCTCCAAATAACTAAGAGGGAAATTATTTCATTCCTTGCACTTGTATCAGCAGCACCTAGCACAGTATCTGGTAGATAGTAGTTGCTTAATCAATACTTATTGATTGATTGATAGATACCAGGATAAAATGTATATAGTGTTAGGCATAGCATTTTTAGATCCAATTAAACACGTTAGTGGTATCAGATTTAGATCAAGAAGGGACCTTAGAACCTATCTTGTCTATCTGTCTAATGTTATAGTTGAGGAAATTTAGGCTTACAAAGACTAAACTTGCTCAAAGTCACACAAATATTGAAAGAATAGGATTTAAACTTAGGTCTTCCTGACCTCAAAATGAATACTCTTTTCAGTCTATTACTCTATCTCCCTAAACTTCAATTTTTTTTAACAGTTTAATTAGGAAGTATTCTCTTTTAGCTTTTTGAGTCAATTGAATTATTACATTTATATTTATGTTGATACTCTTTTTAGAGTCTTTAGGAAAATGTGTTGCATCACAAAAAAGTGCATTTTCATTGATATTAATATCATGATTTTACATTCAGGTCAAAGATTAACTGCCTCTTTATTGTAATGGAATTGTGTGAAGGGGGGACATTAAAAGATTGGATTGATTGTCAAAGACATAACAATGAGCCTGATAAAGCTTTGTCTTTGAACTTATTTCAACAAATAACTGCAGGAGTGGAATATATACATTCAGAAAAATTAATTCACAGAGACCTTAAGGTAAGTGATAATGAATCTTTTATTTCTTGAATTGAAGTGGAATAATATTTTTGGAAGTAGATAACTGTAAATCCATTTTGCAATTCAATTCCTTTGTGTGTGAATGTGTTTGTAATTGGTAGTGCTCAATCCAGATGAGGTAATTTTTTAAAATTAAATTTTATTTCTCTCAGTCAGCAAAAATCTACCTTCTCTCCTTCACACTTCCTCCTCCCCCACCCCAATTGAGAAAGAAAAACAAACCCTCTATTGTAAAAGCATGTATAATCAAGCAAAATAAATTTCCTCATTGACCATGTCCAAATATATATATATATATATATATATACACATACATATACACATATATATATTTATATATATACATATATGTGTATATATATACACATGTGTGTGTGTGTGTATGTGTATATATATATATATATATATATATACACACATAAAATTTTGTGTTCTGAATCCTTTACCTCTCTTTGAGGTGGTGTGTAGCATATTGTATCATGGGTCTTTTGGAATCCTGGTTGGTTATAATGTTTGATCAGAGTTCCTAAGTCTTTCAAAATGATCTTTATAACACTATTGTCATTGTATACTTTGTTCTCCTGATTCTGCTCACTTCATGCTGTATCAGTTCATACGAATCTTTCCATGTTTCTCTGAAATCATCCCTATTATAATTTCTTATAGCACAATACCATTCCATCAATCATATACCATAATTTATTCAGGTATTTCCCAATTGATAGGCACTACTTTAGTTTCCAAATCTTTGCCACCTCAAAAAGAGCAGCTATAAATATTTTTTAGTATCCTTAGAGTTTGTTTTTCTTAGGACTAATCTCTCCCCTAATCTGCCTTTCCTCTTATTTCTCCATCTCCCCTTTATCTCCCATTTCCCTGTTCAGTTAAATATATCTCTATATCTAAATCTATGTGTATAAGTATTCTTCCCTCCTTTGACCAGTTCAGAAGTGAGTTTCAAGTGTCACCTGTTCCCTCCACCTCTCTCCGTGTTTGTAAAGACTTTGACTTGTCCCCTGATTGAGATAATTTTCCCTAACCTTCTTCTCCCCTTTCTCCCTTAGTGTATTCATTTTTCTTTCCATTTCTATTTTTTCTTTGAAGATCATCAAAACATAACAAAACCATTCCCAAGTTCTCTGTATTATTACAGTCCTTCTGTGACTGCTTATGATGCTAGAGTTCTGTGGGACACGTGTATCATCTCTACAGATTAGATTGACAAATAGTAATAAAATTATTTAATTGTCTCTATGACTTGTTCTTTAACCCACTCACACTTTAAGATGGGTAATTTAGTCTTCAATTAATTTTTAATCTGTGTTTCCATAGTCCCTTATTAAATATAATTTTATTCATTATGATCTGAAAAGGATGCACTTGAAGTTTCTACTTTTCTTCATTTAATCTTAAAGTTTAACATTAAAGTTTTTATTCACCTAATATTTGGTCAATTTTTGTAAAGGTACCATGTACCACTGAGAAAAATGTGTATTCCTTTATATTCCCATTCAGTTCTCTTCAGATATCTATCATATCTAGCTTATCTAAGATTCCATTCATCTCTTTGACTTCTTTCTTATTTAATTTTTGGTTATATTTATCTAGTTCTGAGAGGGGAAGATTGAAATCCCCAACTATTATAAGTTTGCTATTTCCATCTGTAATTCATTTAGCCTTTCCTTTAAAAATTTGGATGCTATGATAGCATTTGGTGCATACAGATGTAACATTGATATTACTTCACTATCTGTGGTACTTTTTTTATCATAATGTAGTTTCCCTGTTTATATCTTTTACTTAAATCTATTTTGGCTTTACCTTTGAGATCATAATTGATACCCATGTTTTTTTATGCATCAGCTGAAGCATAGTAATTTCTACTTCAGCTCTTTATTTTTATTCTATGTGTATCTCTCATTTTAAAATATGTTTCTTGTAAACAACATAGTGTCAAATTCTGGTTTTTAATCCATTCTGCTGTTTTCATTTTATGGGTGAGTTCATCCCATTCACACACAAAGTTACAATTACAAAGTTGTGCATTTCCCTCCATTCTGTTTTTTGTTATTGTTTATCCTTCTCTCCCTCTATCTTTACTCTATCCTTCCTCAAACATCTAATTGACTTCTAACCACTGCCTTCCTAATCTTCATCCCCTCCAAGAATCCCTCCCTTATCCTCTCCCCTTACCCTCCTATTTCTTGATCTACACACTTTTCTAAGAGTCCTTCCCTTATCCTGTGCCTTCACCCTCTTATTTCTCTGTAAGTTAAGACTTTTATACCCTTCTAAATGTATGTTATTCCCTCTTTAACCCAGTTCTACCCCCTCCTGCCTCCACTGTAACAATTCTTCTATTCACGCCTCATTTATATGTGATAATTGCTCCATTTTACCTCTTGCTATCCAATTTTATTTTTTAGTATCATCCCATCATACTCAATTCAACCCCAAGTCTTCTATCTATTCATGTTCTTTCAAACTACCCAAGTAATGCTAACATTCTTAAGTGTTGTAGTTGTTTTCCCATATAAGAAGTAAAAATTATAACTTTGTTAAGTCTTTTATTATTGATTTTTAATGTTTACCTTCTCATTTTTCTTCTGAGTCTAGTAGGTCAGATTTTCTATTTAGTTCTAATCTTTAATCTGCAAATACCTGAAAGTGCTTTAGTTCATTAAATATCCATTTTTTTTTTCTATTCAGGATAATACATAACTTTGATGAGTAAGTTATTTTTGGTTATAAGCCCAGCTCCTTTGCTCTTTGGAATATATTATTCCATGATCTTTGTTTTTTTCTTAATGTAGAAGCTGCTAAATCTTATGTTATCCTGATGGTAGTTTAAAAAAATTTTTTTTCTAATTGCTTGTAGTATTTTCTCCTTGGCCCAGGAGCTTTGAAACTTAGCTATGATATTCTTGTGAGTTTTCATCTTGGGATCTCTTTCAAGTGGTGATTAGTGGATTGAAGGGATCCTTTTTTATTGTTTATTCATTCTTCCAGCCTACTTACTTACTTCAGACTTTATGTTAGGGTCAGACTTATACTTCTGGAAGGAATGTTTGGGCTGGTTCTTCTACTACTTTCTAGGAGGTACTAAGTTTCAGGGAAAGCTCAGGCTGGAGATTGGCAAACTTTCAGTGTTGACAAAGTAGCTGATCCAGAATCAGTAGAATCTGATTGTTGCCCTCCTAGTCTGAGCTCTGCAAATTCCTGACCTGAGTTTGTGTCTGGGCAACATACTTGTGGGATATACCTTGGTTGGAGTTTCAGTAGACTACTGCTAGACTCAGCCATTAGTAGCAAGCTGACAGACGTGTAGGCCTCCTTTTGGTCTTTGCTTCCTGCCCTGGTTATTCTGCTGCAGGTTTGAGATTGAGCAGGGAACTGGAACCAAGATGTCTCTCTGCTCCTAGGCTCAGAGTGCTAGAGTTATTTTTCATCCTAAAATCATTAACTAAACAAGATCATTATATAAAACTGAAGTTGACCAAGTGTTAGATTTTTCTTCTGTAAAATGACTAAATTGGGAAGGGCCAAACTGAACAAACATTTAAGCACTTACTATGTGCCAAGCAGTGAAAGTACCTTACAAATATTATCTCATTTGAAAAGATAATTTTAACTTGTCAACTTTTAAAATACCTATTTTGTGTAGATTGCTATTATGTACACAACACTATGTTCCAGTGACTACAGAAATGTTTGTGTAACTCATATCAGATCCTGACCTGTGACGTGATGGTGTGGTCTCGAGAGTCTTTTCCTAATAATGGTCCCTATGGATTATGTCCCTTCCCAGGGTTTAGCCTAGGAATATCAGAATCTGGCTTTTATCTCTCAAATGGTCCTTAACTCCCCAGCAAGTATCATCTTAATGTGATTATTAAATGTAGAACAGGGTTTATTGAAGAAAGTAAGGAGTATAGAAAGTATTCATATACAGATCTGTAGGAAAGTAATTGGGAAAGTCATTCTTAGTGACTCCCATTTTGCTCTCCAGTTTCTATTTCCCAAAAACTCACAGTATCAGTTGATGAAGTCCCTTCTGGGGTTGTGGAGCAAAGAAGTGAAGGGGATTTCTGGACCCTATTAAAGGTGAAGGCTGTGTTTTTCTGAAGGAGAGGAAAATATCAAAGGTGTGGGAGAAAGTCTCAGATCTTATTAAGACCCCCAAAAATAGGCAACCAAGAAAACATTATTGACTACCAAGCCATATATTTACTTTCTCATTTACATAAAATTTTTATGAGACTAACATACACATGCAATGAGGGCATCTTTGATGAAGGTATTAGTGAGGAACAGGGAGCTTTTTGTACCTAATATTCGGTAACATACTACTTCTTTACCCTCATATAAATGACTGAAAGAAGTCAAGAATACAAGATCCTACTATACTTTAACTGTTTTATGACTATAGGAAAGATTTTGATTTTCTAAGGAAAAATGCCACCTTTAAGGTCATCTTACCATAAGATTTTTCTCATGCATACATCAAAATTATGCAAAATTCCTTTAAAGATTTAACAAAAGAAAACCTTGTTCAGTAACCCTTTGTTCATTAATATAAGTAGAGGCACTTATACCAGGGAGACAAGAATGCTTATTAAAGTTTCCTACCTTTATGGTAGGGTAGGGTAGGATAGGGTATGGAATGTCATTTCATTGCATCAGGTGTTCTGCCTGGCCTCTCTGGCCTCCATCTTCCAGGGGAAGAGGAAAAACACCATTCGATAGAGTATCAGTCTCTTGCATTTGGAATAGAGAGAGAAAATGCCCTTTCATCTTGCCAGATTTCCTACCAGGTCTCCAGCCCCCCATGGCGAAAGGAGAAATGCTATTTCATTGTGCCAGGTCTTCTGTCTGATCTCTAACCTACCTAAGGAAGAGAAGAAACATCATTCTGTCCAAGTCAGACTCCTCCTTTCCAAGGAAGAAGAGAAAGGTCATTCCATTAAGTATCCAGCCTGGCCTCCTGCCTTAGGGGAAAAGGAATAATACCATCCCTTCAGTTCTTAGCACTTGTCCCTTCACCTGATCTGCCTAAGGCTCCCAGAGAACTCTATCTTGAGGCCAAACCCCTCTAAACAATGAAAAAAATCATTCTGTGGTGATTAGCAAACTTCCTACTTGTCTTACCTCCCCATTACATTGATTCTGGACCCCTAACTGTCATCATTCAAATCTGTTCTAAATCCCCCAAAGCCTAATCCCTTATTATCATTCCTCTCAACCCACCTCCCCCCACAATGTTCCACTCAAAAGCTATCTACCCCTTCCATTGTGCTCTATAGAATGCTTGCTCCATAGGCAATAAGGTTAGTTCTAGCATCAGACAAAACAAAAGAGATATGTACCTCATCCTGTTCCTATGTGATTTTGATCTACTTGATCAGATTCTGTCTCTTGAAAGCATTTTATTCCATGTGGCTTGGAGATTATGAGTATTTGGTATGATGACATCTATTAAAACATTATTATTATCATCATCATTACTATTATTATTATGCCCTTTTAAATATGCTCACCAAGTCCCTCCCAGAGTAAAGTCTCATAATTTTGTATTATAAGATTGGTAGGAAGAAATATGCAACTAGATATTTTCATGGATATCAGTGATTTCTTCCAAGAAATCCTTAAATATTTCATTCTCTCACACAAATAATCCCCTTTACCCAGCAAAATATACTAATACATACATACATATATATGTATACATATATATGTATACATATATATATATACACATATATATGTATACATATATATAAAATATAGCACAGGCTTTTGTGATGGCTCATTGCAAATGACAAGCTGTCCCTCTGTGGTGCCATATCTCAGGGTGGTTTTTCAGCCTCTATATCTTCTGTCTTGTAATAATCCTATTTCTGTGTGACATGGAGATTATTGTTAGGGGTGGGGTGGGGGTGAGGAACATCAGATGTTACATTAAAGGAGGGCTGAAGGCCAAGCATTTGTCCCCTGTGTCCTTTAAGTGTGTGGAAAGGAGCTGTTCACAGCTCCCACCCCAAGTGCTCATTTTCTAGGTTTTCTTTATGTTGGGAATGAATCCTCTGAAATGTCTCTGGTTATCATGCAGCTAAAATTCTGTCAGGATAATGAGACCCACTGAGTTATAAGACTCAAAACATCTTAAATCTTTTCCTTTTCCACTCCTACCTTTTGGTTCTCACTGAGTCCTGGCTCCCTCCCGAGAACATAGCCTCCCTGGCCTCCCTTTCTGCCACTAGCTGAACTTTCCCCCATTCCCTTGTCTCACCAGGTGAGGTAGTTGGAATACTTCTTGTTCCCCATTGCTGCTTTCCGGGTTCTTCCTCTACAACCATCACTTCATAATTTTTTCTCCTTTCAGGTTCACTCAATCCATGTTCACCACCACAATCACAATTATGGTCTACTGATCTCCTGAGTACTTCCCTTCTTTCCTTAGTGAATTTCTGTACTCCCCAATTCCTGCCCTAATACTAGGGAATATTGAATATACATATTGATACTCCCTCAAACACCCTAACCCCACAGTTATACAACCTCTTCATTTCGTATGACCTATTCCTCCACTCCACTTATACCACACCCAAAGATGGTTATGCCCTTAATCTTGCTCACAAATGCACCACTGTCATGTTTACAAACTCCAAGATTCCCTTATCTGACCACAATCTACTGGCATTCTGTCTCTGCCTTTAGAACGGAACTGTGTTCATCTATACTCCGATCTCCAGTCCCTTGATCCCTCAGTTCTCTCTCCCAGGCCAACAGCCATACATGTGTATGTGTGTATTTATTTATGTGTATATATTTATATATTTATGTGTATATATATGTGTGTATTTATGTGTATATATGTACACAAATACATACGTGTGTATGTGTGTGTGTGTGTGTACATTTAATCTAATCAGATCCATCCATTTACTTGGGTTTAGGATAACTTCCTGAACTGTTAAGTATAAATGATAAGGCCAAATCTTTAAAAATGCTTATGAATCTCACCTATGAAGTTAGAAGAAATATTCTTGGACTTAATTCAGATGAACATCATGATGTCATCCACATAGATGAGCATCTGGAGGACTTCACCATTCCTGTTCAATTTAGACTTTGCTGGATATCCTCCATTATGGAGGCAAACACCTTTGAGTCAATCACTCAGTCAATAAACATTTAATACGATGTGCCAGGTACTGTGCTAAGTTCTATAGTTATAAAGAAAGGCAAAAGACAGTTATTGCTCTCAAGAAGTTCATAGACTATTGAAGGAAATAATATGCAAACAAATACATGCAAATAAGCTATAATCAGTATAAATTGAAAATAATCAACAAGAGGAAAGACAGTAGAATGGGGGGGGGGGAATCAGGAAAGGTACCTTCCTAAGGAAGGTACCAAAATGATGAATTTCTGTATTTAATATGTGAAGAAATGAAACTCCAAGAACTCAGTTAAGTTCCATGTCTGCCTCATTGTTAAGAGAGATAACCATAGCAGTGTTGACTCTAACTTGCTAAAAGTAGCTATCCATCATGTTTCACAACCAACCAGTGAGCCACCTTAGTCAAATTACATTGAGCATGAAACATCCTTATTGTGGAATATGTAGTATGACTGATCCTTGGCAGCTTGAGTAATGCCAATGTTGAATCTCTTGATTTTGGATACTTTGGTTTTGGATAAAAGTTACAGGATCATAGAATTTTAGATTTGGGAAGAATTTAAGAGATTATCTAGTCCAATCCTTTCATTTTCCAGACAAGGAAACTGAGGCTTAGAGAGGTAAGATTACATAGGTGGTAAGTGATAAAGCCAGGATAAGAACTCAGATCCTCTGACTCGAAATCTATTGCTCTTTCCACTAACCCATGCTGCCTCCAATACTAGGCAATCTCTTCCAGTGAAGACATTGAAAACCAAGCCAAGAATTAGGGAAAGAAATTGAACAAATGTGATTCATACTTCCAGAGCTCATAGGCTTTTGCAGCTAATCTGAAAATCATCTAGTCAACCCCCTCATTTTCACATGAGGAAACTAGGGCCAGTGAAGTAAATTAACTTTCTCAAGGTCACACAGGTAGTAAGTTGCCAACTGGGGATTTGAACCCAAATCCTATAATTCCAAAACCCTTGTGATGCCCCTACCAGCACACTGCATGTTTATGCTACCCCTCTTTAAATGTTCAAAACCTATAATAGGAATAGATATAAAATAAGAAATTCTCTTTTTTTTCCTTTTAGCCATCTAATATATTTTTAGTAGATAAAACCAAAATAAAGATTGGTGACTTTGGACTTGTAACCTCATTGAAAAATAAAGAGGATCGGACAAAAGGTATAGGAACACTTCGTTATATGAGCACAGAACAGGTAAGCTGCCTTTCAGTCAATTCTCCTTAAAGTATTTGCTTTTGTGGAAAGCTATCCCCATAAGGCATCCTCCCTCTTCCCTTTTTTGAATACTAAACATGAGTGTCAGAGCTACCCGATGGTTTGGAGGGTCTTGTGTTGTGGAGAGGCAGAATCATTGCCCTTCCCCACCCCTACCTCACTCCACCAAGTCTTCTCTACTTCATTAAGCTATCCCTGTACCCACTGATGCCATTGAAGGCTGACCCATCTGTACCTTGTCAGTATAGGGAAAAAAGAGTTATTCAGAAAGGTTAACGAATGCTAACTACAGTAGTTTTCTTGTTTTATGATTCTCTCTTAGGGGATATTTTACTTTTTAATTAGTTTCTTACCCATACTTATTCCTGGTACACATTTTTATAAGGCCAGAGTCAGAATGGAGAGAACTGGGCACATTATTGGTTACAGTCTAAGTCTGTCCTTATAAGATGTCTTTTCAACTAAGAAGTCTCAGCTTTTAAAGTGTATAGGTCAGCATTCTCTATCAGTTTTATGTTTTTTATTGAACTGTAAACTCTAATAAGTTAAACATTACACATCATCCTCCTGAAATAGCCAGGAAAATATTTTCTGTTAAATAGTTTTGTGATGCTCCCCGTTAACAGGCATGCAGATGTATACATGAATAAGAATAATGATACTGCGGCATTTTCTTTTCTTTCAGAGCAGTTCCCAAGATTATGGGAATGAAGTAGATATTTTTGCATTGGGATTAATCCTTTTTGAACTTCTTTACATATGTCCCACCGTTCAGGAAATGGCAAGGGTAAATAATGAAAGCATTATTATTGGCCTTCAAGTTCCAAGTATTGCTGCTTATAGCTATTTCCCATGGATAAGAATGTAGTAGAAAGAATAAGAAAGCAGAAGTCCTAAACCTTTCCGTGTCATGGACCCCTTTGGCAGTCTGGTTAATCCTGTAGATCTCAGAATAATGCTTTTAAGTACATAAATTTAATAATAATGAGAATAATAGCAAACATAGCACTTGCTATGTGTCAGGCATTGTGCTAAGTGCTTTACAATTCTTATCTCTTTTGATCTTCACAACTAACCTGGGAGGTAGGTGCTATTATTATCCTCATTTTACTAATGAGGAAACTGAGGCAAAGGTTAAAAGATGTGCCCGGAGACACATATCAAGTGTCTGAGGCTGGATTTGAACTCTGGTCTGCCTGACTCCAGTCCCACCTCTCTATGAATGATATTGAAATGAGGATGGAATTTGTTTCCCATTCAAGTTCTCAGACCTCCTGAAACTTATTTATGGACCCTTTGGGGGAGGGGCATCGTCTATGAACACCTAGGGTTAAGAACCCCTGGGTTTGACTATTAACAATCAGTAAAACGTGAGTCTGCAATTCAATAGAATACAACTTTCTATTCAGTCTTTTTTTTTTTAAAAAAAAAAAAAAGCTTTGATCTTCTAGAAGGGGTATCCTTTATATTAAATCAGAATAGTGGTTTCTCTTTTGTACAGAAAGGCTTAGAGGAAATGGCAATAGGCATTTTTTATGAATAAATTCATTCTGTAACCATTTATGAAGTTCCTACAATGGCCTGGATCCTGTGCCAGGTGCTAGGAGTAAGAGGAAGAAAGGGAAACAATCTTTCCTCTAAAGGAGCATAGTGATGCTGCTATTGCTGTTGCTGCTGATAATGATGATGATGATAATGACGCTGGTGAAGATGATGATGGTGTTGGTGGTGGTGGTGGTGTAACAGGACAGGTGCTAGAGAAGTGTATGTCTTCCGTGTTCAACCTGGACATATACTTATTCAGGCAGGCAGTTCACCTAGAGTTGGGGAATATAAATAGAAGATTCTTGACTGATGCATGAATAATGTGTTCTCACAGAACTGGGAAATGGCAAAAGGAAAAATACCTTCATAAAAAAATTTCTACAGGTTTAATAAACTCTAAACATTTCTGCTGAGAAAGTCTATGAATAAAAATAGTGTTTTCTGACATTTTCAGATCTGGGAAAATGTGAAAAATTGTATCTTTCCAGAAGAATTTGACAAGAAGTACCTTAAGGAGGTATGAATTTTTAACGAACCAGAATTTTGTTTATATCAATATTTAATTTTTGTAACTGAGGGTTTTATGACCATTTCAGAAACTGGTACTAATGAAGCTACTTTCAAAAAAACCTGAAGACAGACCCAAAGCATCAAAAATCCTGAAGATACTGAAGGACTGGGAGAAAGAAGGGGGTGATAATGAGAATATGTATTCACGTTCATATTAGGTGCTTTATTGACATGGTTGGGCTCTCAAATTTCCACCTCTGAAATGTGACTTATTTTGCAATTTCTGGAATCCATGGGAGAGCATTGTTGTTGTTCAGTCGTTTCAGTTGTGTCTGACTCTTTGTGGCCCCATTTGGGGTTTTATTGGCAAAGATACTAGAGTGGTTTGCCATTTTCTTCTCCAGTTCATTTTACAGATGAGGAAACTGAGGCAGATAGGGTTAAGTGATGACTTGCCCAGGATCACACAACTAGTAAGTGTCTGAGGCCAGTTTTGATCTCAGGAATATGAGTTCCTGACTCCAGGCCCTGTGCTCTAGCCACTGTGCCGCCTAACTGACCTAGAAAGCATTAGATACTTCCTAGTTATTTTTATTGCCATTTATTATTAATGTGGTAGTTCCTTAATTTTTTAATCCATTTTCAAGTTTAGTTTTTTTTTTTAAAGAAGTTTCCATCTATCATTGATTTTTCTTTGGCTTGCTTGTGTTCTTCAAAAGGAAATATAGGTCTCTGAAATTTGATTTTCAAGCAGTCATTAATTACTTAGTTATTTACTGTCTTTTCTAAAAAATTTTTTTATTTCATTAAATATTTCCCAATTACATGTAAAAAAATTTTTTTAACAATCATTTTAAAAAATTTTGAGTTCCAAATTCTCTTCCTCTTTCTTGTCCCTCCCCCTTTCTTGAGAAGGCAAGCTATTTTATTTTGATTATGCATGTGAAGTCATGCAAACCATATTTCCATATTAGCCATGTTGCAAAAGAAAACATAAATAAAATAAAACAATAAAGATCAAGAAATTTTTAAAAAGTATGTTTCAATCTGCATTCAGAGTTCATCAGTTCTCTCTCTGGAAGTGGATAGCATTTTTCATCATGGGACCTTTGAATTTGTCTTGAATCATTGACTTAATCAAAATAGGTAAGTCTGTCACAGTTGCTCATCCTTAAAATATTGCTGTTACGGTATACAATGTTTTTCTGGTTCTGTTCACTCTACTTTGCATGAGTTCATATAAATCTTCCCATCTGAATGTGTATGATATTCCCTCTTTGAGCTAATTCCATTGAGAGTAAGGTTCAAGTGTTACCAACTGCCCCTTCCACCCATTTTCCTGTCCACTGTAAAAGTTCTTCCTTTTACATCTCTTTTATGTAAGATAATTTTCCCCCTTCTTCCTCTTCCTTCCCCCAAACCATCCTACCATAGTCAACTCACACCTGTGCCTTCTATCTATACTCCTTCTAACTGCCCTAATAATAATAAAGTTCTTGGGAATTACAAGTATCATCTTCCCATATAGGAATGCAAACAGTTTAACTTTATTGAATCTTTTATGATTTCTCTTTCATGTTTACCTTTTTATGTTTCTCTTGAGTTTTGTATTTGAAAGTCAGATTTTCTATTCAGCTCTAGTCTTTTCATTAGAAATACTTGAAAGTCCTCTATTTCATTAAATATCTATTTCTTCCCCTGAAGGATTATGCCAAGTTTTGCTGGGTAAGTTATTCTTGGTTGTAATCCTAGCTCCTTTGCCTTCCAGATTATCATATTCCAGTCCTCTGACCCTTTAATGTGGAAGCCATTAAACCTTATGTGATCCTGACTGTGGCTCTACAGTATTTGAATTGTTTCTTTCTGGCTGCTTGCAGTATTTTCTCCTTGGTCTGGGAACTCTGGAATTTGATTATAACATTCTTTGGTGTTTTTATTTTGGGATCTATTTTAGGAGGTGATCCGTGGATTCATTCAGTTTCTATTTTACTCTCTTGTTCTAGGATATTGGGGCAGTTTTCCTTCATTTCTTGAAAGATGATGTCTAGACTCTTTTGTTGATCATGGCTTTCAGATAATCCATAATTCTTTTTTTTTCTTTTTTTTTTTTTTTGATGAGGCAATCTGCGAAAAGTGACTTGCCTAGGGTCACACAGCTAGTAAGTGTCAGGTGTCTGAGGCCACATTTGAACTCAAGTCCTCCTGACAACAAGGCCAGTGTTCTATCCACTACACCACCTAGTTGCCCCAATCCAATAATTCTTAAATTATGTCTCCTCAATCTATTTTCCAGGTCAGCCTTTTTTTCCAATGAAACGCTTCATGTTTTCTTCTATTTTTACATTTATTTCTTGATGTCTTGTGGAGTTATTAGCTTCCCCTTGCCCAATTCTAATTTTTAAGGAATCATTGAGTTTTTGTACCTTTTCCTTTGCATTCATTTCTTTATCTAACTTCTTTCCTACTACTCTTATTTGATTTTGAAAATCCTTTTTGAGCTTTTCTAGGAATTCTTTTTTTGTGTGTGTGTGAGGCAATTGGGGTTAAGTAAGTGACTTGCCCAGAGTCACACAGCTAGTAAGTGTTATGTGTCTGAGGCTGGATTTGAACTCAGGTCCTCCTGACTCCAGGACCAGTGCTCTATCCACTGCACCACCTAGCTGCCCCCTTTTCTAGGGATTCTTGTTGGGTTTGTGTACAATTCACATTTTTTTTTGATTCTTTGCTTGTTGCTGTTTTGACTTCATTGTCTTCTTCTGAGTTTGTGTCTTGATCTTCCCTGTCACTGTAGTAGCTTTTTAGATCAGATTCCTTTTTTTACATTTTTCTTTTTTTTTCTTTTGCTTATTTCTCTACCCTATTTCTTGATTTGAAATTTTATGTTAATGTTGGGCTCTGTTCCTGGCATGGGGAAGGGAATGGCTCTGTCTCAAGCTTCATGATTTTTCATACTGCTGTTTTTAGAGCTAGTTCTGGGGGTTTGGAAGTTTTTGGTGCTTCTCAGGTAGTGTGATCTGGGGAGAGATGTCACTACTTTTTCTTGATCTGTGGTCTGGTCCTTACCCAGAAAGGACCCCTGATCCTTTAGAATTACAATTGATACTTTTCTCAGGGCCCCTCTTCCCTTGGGACTGGAAACTGTACTGTTCCTCTGTGTCCCTGATCCCTTGGCATCAGAAGTGATATTGCCCCTCAGGGTTTCCACTCCCTCTTGATCAAAAGTGCTTCTCTCCACCCTTGAACTATGTATGACCCAGAAGTAGGTATAGGCAATGAAGTTGCCAAACAATTGTCCCTCAGGGTTCCCACTATCCTCCTGAATGAAAGGACTCCCCCATAATTTCTTTCTGACCATTTCTCAGTTCTCTTAACCTCTCCAGATTGAGAACTCCTGAAGATGCTTCCAATTCTGTCATCACCAACTAATCCCATCACTGGTGTTTCATCCATGTGGGCTCCAGGTTAATCTCCTTCCTCGACATTACAAATACTCTCTTTCCAGCCTTCTATGTTGTCTTAGGCTGGAAGAATGTCTCACTCTTATCTTTTGTTGGCTCTGCCACTCCAGAACTCAACTGGAGGAGTCATTTTAAAATTGTTTGGAGGAGAATGTTAGAAGACCTCAGCTTTCTTCTATTCCACCCTCTTGGCTCCACCCCCCGAAGTCTCCTATTCTCTTAAAAAAATTTTTTCTCCCCAATGAACAAAAATTTATTTTTCTCTCCCTCTTATCACTTCTCCCTTCCCTGATGTGAAGTAAATACACTCATTGGCCATGTTCAAAAATATGCATCTCATCCTGCATGTTTTTTGTCCATCATCTCACCATTGGAAGTTTATTCTCAAAAACTCTAGATCAAAGAAGTAGAAAATAATATCCCAAGGAGGTCACTGACAGGAAGAATAACTTATAAGCTCAGAAATGTTCCTAGCAACATTATGAGAAAAAAAAAGAACTGGGAACAAAATAGGCATCCAACAATTGGGAAATGACTAAGAAATGATGATGGATGAAAGTAATAGTATCATACTGCACTCTAAGAAATGATAAATGTGAAGAATTCACATTCACATTCATATGAAGTGAGACAGAAATAGGAAGATAGAGCCCAAAGAACAGCATATAGCATAACTACAGTAATATAAACACACCAACTAGAAAAGCACAAAAGTCTGGACTAATTCTATGGATGATGTTAGTACCACACTGCCAAAATTCAAGGACATATCACTCCTTTCTCTCAATAACTGATAATCTAACTTTATTTGAAGAATGTGCTTTGTGAAGTGGTTTAGTTGGGTGTTTGTTGGGAAGCTTTTGTTGTGTCAAAACAAAATATATTAATTAATTAACAAAAGGGTGACCCCAAAGAAATCAATGAAAGAAGAAAAGGACCCATATATACAAATATATTTATAGAAGCTATTTTTGTAGTGGCAGAGAACTAGAAATTAAAGGAATGTCCATCAATTGGAGAAGGGCTAAACAATCATGGTACAGGACTATAATGGAATACTATTGTATCTTAAGAGATGATGCGGGGGATGGCTTCAGAAAAACCTAGAAAGACATATATGAACTAATGCAGAGCAAAGTGAGCATTTTATTTATTTTTTTATTTTTTGGTGAGGCAGTTGGGGTTAAGTGACTTACCTAGGGTCACACAGCTAGTAAATATCAAGTGTCTGAGGCCAGATTTGAATTCAGGTCCTCCTGACTCTAGGGCCGGGGCTATATCCATTATGCCACCTAGCTGCCCCCAAAGTGAGCATTTTAAAGTGAACATTTTATTTTGGGGAAGATGTGGGAAAATTGGGACACTAATGCACTTTTGGTGGAGTTGTGAACTGATCCAACCATTCTGGAGAGCAATTTGGAACTATACCCAAAGGGCTATAAAACTGTGCATACCCTTTGATCCAGCAATACCACTCCTAGGTCTCTATTCCAAAGAGATCATAAAGAAGGGAAAAACATGTGCAAAAATATTTATAGCAGCCCTTTTCATGGTGGCAAAGTATTGGAAATTGAAGGGATGCCCATCAATTGGGGAATGACTGAACAAGTTGTGGTATATGAATGTAATGGAATACTATTGTGCAATAAGAAATGATGAGCAGGCAGATTTCAGAAAAACCTGGAAAGACTTGTACAAGCTGATGCAAAATGAAATGAGCAGAACCAGGAAAACATTGTACACAGTATCAGCAACATTATGTGATGATCAACTATGAATGACTTAGCTCTTTTCAGAAACACAATGATCCAAGACAAATACAAAGGACTCA